TATTCTATTCTATTCTATTCTATTCTATTCTATTCTATTCTATTCTATTCTATTCTATTCTAATTGATATTTATACCATTTGATATATTTATACCATTATTACTTTCCTAACATATTTCAGTTTGATTTAGCCAAGGAAGATTGTGAGAGTGCCCAAGTTATTGAGTTATTTCGTTTAATCCTAACAGAGGCGTTACCTATATATACGGATTTTGTAGTATTAATGGATGAGACAAATTTGGAATTCTGGATCTTGCTCTGATTCTTAAATAATGATAACCACTAAGGAAATTACGGGATTTCAGGAAATCCATTAATGGTGCAAGTTAAGACTATGATAACATTCTAGTATAAATCTAGCTGAAATATAATTAAGTGGTACTTACCTTTGTTTGTCATAAAACTCTGATTATGATGAGTAGCTGTTCCATCTCCATTCGATATTGCCCCAGGTACATCTAAAAAAATGAAAACCCAAAATTCAGAGTATTTAAGTAATTCTAAAATTCTTTTTCATCAGATATAAGGAATAGACTAGATTTAACATGGAAACATAAATCATATTCATTTTTTAAACAAATTATCTTAATTTAAAGGTAATGCATATTTGATTGGAAATACATTACCAGTAGAACATAACCCTCCAATTTCCTCTATCCCATTTTTCCCATTAGGAACAACGGTCAGAAATCAGGAGGGGGGGGGGAAACCCCTTTGATTTCCCTCTCTAGCCCTCCTTAGATAATCTTTTAACTTTTACAATAGATGACCTTATAACTGATTCCGATGCTATGTGTGGTTTATCTTGCAGCTGTAAAACTTGTCTTTGGAAGGGTGCGTGTGATTATTTGAACAAACTACTCAAACGTTGGAGGGCGGTCTCTCCTGTTTTAAGAATTTCACTGTAAGCAAGGAATTGTCCTACCAAGGGATTCCTTGCGTTGATGTAGAATCTTCTGTTTCATCTAAATCAGGGGCATCATACTTGCAGCCCCACAGGCTGGATGCATCATGCACTGGCCATGTCCATCCCCCCTCCCCGTTTAGTGAAGGGGAAACAAAGTTGTGATAAATTACATTATGACAACATGTCATTGCGAGTTTGACACCCCTGATCTAAACAGTGTTCCCAAATCATGCTGTCCTTCCTGTGGCTTTCACTAAAAAGATACTTACTAGCAGACACAGCAGAAGCCAGCCCAGGCAATCTTAATCAGTAGGCTGGTTTCCAGTGGTAGGGAGACAAGTTATTCTGCTCTCTCACTGTTACTATATTATATAGAGGGAACTCTTCCATTAACAACAGCAGCAACAAAACACCCTGTCCTGTTCTTCACATTAGAATCTAAAGATTTATAAAAACAGTCCAGTATTTATAAAATAGATTTTTATGTCCCTAATGTTTAACTATATTTTTATTTTATTTAAATCTTCTAGGAGTAAGCAGTAGATTATTATCCTCACTGTACAAATATTGAAGTGAGACTTGTGCAATAACTTGCTTTGGTGCCTGAAAAGAGCTCTGAGTTGCCTATCTATATCTTACTGATACCAGTAGAACCATACTAATCTAAACAGCATCTTAGTTAAAGGGATATCTTTACACCAACAGAATATAATTATTCATTATAAAATCAGTCCTCCCTCAGCATAACAGAAAATACAAAAACTCATGTCCAAAACTTGTGCGAGAAACCATCCTGTGCGTATTATGCAAAAATGCAAGTCTTGTTTGCATCTAATATTTGCTTCTTGAAAGCGGATAGCAAACGCTTCTTTGCTTTTTCGGAACACAGTACTACAATTCAGCAAATAAATAAAAAGTTGACCCCACACTTGTTTTTTCTGGGCCATCTGCTCTAATTTCTGAAACAATGAGAAGCACCAGGTTGAAAAGTTGCAATCATGACGTAACAAGCATAACTCTATAACTGTGCAAAGGGATCCTAAATATTGTTTGAGATCAATTTATGGCAAACAACATGTGACATACGAGGCCACCCAAACTTGAAGTTTAGCATAATCATCACTTTATTCTGTGATTAGTAAATTTCTTAATCACAAAATTGGTTTCAGAAATGCTGACTTTTAGCTGGGCCAAAGCCAACTTGACGATGCATTAAAATATCTATTATTTATGACAGAAATAAGAGCTCTTATTAGTATCTATTGCTTTTTTTTATAAGCAAGACTGCAAAAAATGATTATTTAATGGAGCAGAATTAATTGGAGCCTTGGAAAAGGCCAGGTTATCCACTTCTAACTAGCAGCTGGGAAGTGATCATTAGTCTAATAGCAGCTGGAACATAAGGAGACAAAATAAGTCAATTAAGTAAGTGAGATACTCTCATAATACTGTAAGATCTTCCTGTATTTCACCCTGTGGCAGAATTCTCACTAACATATCAGCCACTGAGGTTCCACTTTTCAAAGTAAATCCAATACAGAAGTGAGTAGCCCTCTAAGCAGATTTTTGCTATTAAAATAGCATTTCTTTTACCTGTTAATATGAATCAGCAGATCCATGTGGTCTCTGTTCTAACCTTGTTTGAATGGCATCTTTAAACCTAGTGTTCTCCATTAGGCCTTGGACGAAGATCGATGGTGGGATGTTTGTGGGAATGTTTTATGTTATAGCCATGAGCTTATTTTACTCTTGCTAAAAGTTCATCCCTCCTCTTTTGTGTTTTGCATTATTCCAAACTGTTTAGCGCTCAGAGTCATGATGGAGTCAGGAGGTCTTATAAATTTTATAAGCTGATAACGAGACTGCTAATTTTTTCCTTACTCAGTCAAGATCTGTGGTACTCAAGATCAATCAATATATTTTGGCAATGAGGCAGAAAAATCTTATTCTTACAAAATAGTACATGAAGTAATTAAGATATACTACATTCAATATCAGCAAAATCAGATACCTAAGATAGCAGCCAATCTACCTAATGCTAGCATCAATACAGTGTATTTTAAGCTATCATAGCTGTTCTGATCACTACACAATAGATGCATTAGCCCAACTATGTGAGATTGTCACTTCTGAGAACTGCACCCTAGTCCTCTTTTGAGCACTCAGGCCTAAAGACTCTGTGAGAGCATCACACGATGAAGCAGGCCTCTTGTTGTTGAGTTGGTGGATAAAACTGTGTCATAATCTCCAGTAACAAGAAAAACATGTTTTCCACAATAATCATGAATGAAGATATTGTGAAGATAAACCTCTGAGTAGGCTTTTTGCTTTTAGACAACATCCTTCTATCCTATCTCACCTCTTGTGGAAGAGAACTCTAGGTTTTCAGTCGCCAGCACAGGTACCTACAACAAGCCAAGTTTGCTGAGCTATGGTACCACAATATTGTTTCCAACGCTTACTTGCTTGCATGTGATCCTTACAACAGAAATTATGAAAGGGCAAACTTTTCACTGAAATATCTCAATACAATATTCACAATATGCCTCCCCTGCTTCCTTCCATAAATATCATGCTTCTGATCTGCTGTTTACTACAGGAGCTAAAATGAAATTTGGAACAAAAGAAACTCCATAGAAGCAGCAAGGCGAAATAAATCAATGGGGCGTTAACAGGGCAGAATGGCCCCAGTGGAATCAGAAAAAGGACAACATTTTGCTATTCAATTAGGAAAGAAAGTTCAAATGCTTATAAGAAAGAGTGTGTGATAGAAATTGTATCTTATCTTGCTTGAAACCATATAATGGTAAGCAAGCAATTGGGAGGATACCCATGAATATCTAAGAGTAGCAATGAATAGCAAGTTGATGGAGGTCATAATCTGCCAACCCTTCAAACTGTCTACTGATAATTTGCTTCAGTCAGCACCATGTTACACCCCAATAAATGGTAACAGTGAAAGAATTAAGAGTTTGTTCGGGGGAAAATTGGGCATATTTTGAATGTGACCGGGGGTGGTGGTGGTTCTATCAGGTGGTATGAATGGATAGAAAGAAATAAAAAAGAGAGTAAGTTATTGACCCATCTGGATACCCAAATGCTGAGAATGTTATTTCTGATGAGCATCTGTTTAGAAAAAAGTTCCCGTTGCTTTAAATACATGGTTTAAACATGTCTATTCATACACACCTATTGAGAAAGAATATGTTGAAAAACATGATCAATATGATTGTTTCTGGTAAAAGATACACGTGCAATGGTCAGTTCTTGACATGAGATAAGTCATTATTTGGAAGGGCCATGAAAAAAAAATGACATGGATGGAAAGGACAGATATAAGAGAAACAAGAATAAAAGTAAGATGATTGCCAAAAGAAAAAGTGAGGGGTCTTGAATGGAAACGTGTCAGAAAACAGAGAAACCTCCTAACAGATGGAATGCAAAATGAACCTAAGAAAAGACAATACAGATGCTCTTTTGGAACAAAGTAGTCAGAATTATAGTATAAAGTATGTATTGCAGTATAAATATACTATAAAGTATATACCAAATATAGGCTACATGATGCAATAAAGAATATGGACATGAAAATGAATCAGTGGTATGTTAAATCATTTTCTTAATCCATTCTGTACATTAGCATTATTATATATTAAGTAAGAATCAGACTCATCGCCTTCAGGATTACCACAATGACTGTTCATCCCCCCAGCCCAATAAATATAGCAATGATTTGGGGAGTATTTCTTAGAATGGTGTGGTTTATTAATCATTTTATACATCATTTCAAACATTTAGAATTATGCTTATCCAGCCACCATACCTGACTTTACACCCCATGACTTTGCAGTGGAAGTCACAGCAATAATTAGGTTACACAAAGCATTTCCTCTGCTATTCATTTTCTTCAGATCAGGTGCCTTTGCATTCCATTCATCTTCCAAATCCTAAGGAATGAACATTTTCAATAGTAACTACAATTAACATTTGGAGAGAACATATTTACATTCTAAAGGACTTAATATGACTAGATCTGCCTTTCTCATATCTTGTTTTATCCATTATGATTCCTGTCATATCATGCCTCATGTACAATCCATACTAAAGCATTAACCTTAAAAATATCAGAACTCAAACTTCCTTTGAAATTCTGCAGTGTTTGTTCAATACTCTGGAAGCTGGTGAGCAAAGGAGAAAGTGGCAGGGACATACAGGTAGTCCTTGACTTACAATAGTTCATTTAGTGACCATTCAAAGTTACAAAAGCACTGAAACAAGTGACTTATGACCACTTATGGCCGTTGTAGCATCCCCATGGTCATGTGATTTACATTTGGATGCTTGACAGTTGATTCACATGTATGATGGTTGTAGTGTTCAGGGATCATGTGATCCCCTTTTGCGACCTTCTGACAGGCAAAGTCAATGGGGAAACCAGATTCATTTTACAACTCTGTTACTAAATTTAACAGCTGCAGTGATTCACTCAACCAATGTGGCAACAAAGGCCAAAACAAAATCTACTTAACAAATTTCTCACTCAGCAACATAAATGTTGGGATCAATTGTGATCATAAGTCTAAGACTGTACACTACACCTTGTCCAACTTGTCTCTTAAAGCATAGCAGGATTTATTTTGACCACAACTCAGAATAGTTGGAAGGTCATATGTTTATTTCAGGTTGGAAATCACACATATTTTATCTATGCTTCCATTACACAAATAAACTTTTGTACATAATGAGTGGATCTCTCCTTTAATAATGCACAGGAAAATCCTTGCACATGCTACACAGGTTTAATCCATTCTGGCCCGCATTAAATGAGCGATGATAGTGTTTGCAGTCTCTCCAGTTCAGAGACCATTGTTTAATTAATGGACATAAAAATCCTTGTCTGGAAGTACTGCCTGTAAAGACAAATACATTTCATACCTTGGTGCTTTGCAAATGTTTCTTTAAGCTATCAGTATTTAAAGAGGGCTGTATAGGGGGAATCCTTTCTATCGTTTCGTCTATCCATTTCTTCAGAGACTCAACATAACCCCTGAATGCATCAATTTGTTGTTGGCAAGAGGACACATCCTTCTCTCTATAAAATTAGAAACAGAAAGAATGAATTGGGGAAGTTACGCCCTCTCTGACCTCAGAATTAAATATGTAGTACTTTTCTAAGTTAAACCAATTATAAAAGTTGTATTCAGAGTGCTGATATATATTGAAATAGTTTGATAAAGTTAAGAAACAACTGGGACAAAAAACTTCTTGAGACTCCATCTGTTCACACAGAGACTGGCAAAAGGTTCTACTGATATCCAGATCTTGAGCCCTTAAAAATGTTTATCCTCACCTTGAATTGCACATGGAAGGAAACTGGCAACTAGTGTAACTGTCACACCAGAGGTATAACATAGGCATATCACATTGTTGCATCAGTAACTACTGAACTGCTGCATTCTGGACCATTTGCAGCTTCTACATAATATTCACAGGCAGCCCCACTCACCCCCCACCCCCCAAGTGCATTGCAGTAATCAAAGCAGGATGAGATCCAGGCATGATCCAACGATGACCATAGAGGATCATCGCAGTATTATCCTCTTCCCAAAAGAAGCACTCACAATTGCTTGAACCCATCCTCCTCTTAACTTTCCAAAGCTATCACCAATCAGGAAAGAAGAAAAAGCAAAGTATAGGGGACAGAAGTGAAGTTATAAAGAATTATGCCCACTTAAGACCAATAGGCTCAAACTCTTACTAGAAACTAAACTAACTAAACCCAGTAACAGTTTGACAGCCTTGCTGTTGTCACGTAATCATTGTCTTCCATCTCCATTCTAAAATTCAATGACTATACTCACTTTTCTTGCATCATCTCTTCTATTTCCCTGAATTTCTTTGACAAGGCATTTACTTTTTCTAACACTAATGACTTGTCTCCTGGTAGAGCATGAGGAGAAAGTTCTTCAATGAGGTGTTGCAAAACTTCAAGATCTTTCTTCTGCTCCATCAATTCTGTGTTGGTTTCCTGTAAAATGAAGAAAGAATGAAATTGCTTTATACCTCACTGGATAACCCTAAGATTCAACATTTATTCCTTGAACTTAACAGCTTCCATTATCATTTTAGAGCGGATGGTTACTTCACAATTGTGCTTACTCGGTAAAGGTCAGAACAGCACTTCACAAGATTGAAAAATACACTGTACCTGCACACAAAGGAACATTTCAGCAACATCCTTTCCAGGAATATCAGCCTCATTGAGGGCTTGAGTTTTCTTGTCAAAGAATGACTGAAGTTTGTCAGACAGACATTCAAACAACTCTACACTGGTCTTCAACTTCTCCATGTCTTCTAGTCTTTTCTTATGTTTATGGTGAGCATTGCAAAACCTCTGGGAAAGCTCATTCATTTTAGCTTCTAAAGAAGATGCGGTTGAGGGATCTGCAGTTTCCATGAATTTCTTCATTTTTTCTTTCATGGCATTTAGGCTGCTCTGACGGCCTACAATGTCTTGTTCTAGTGCCTGAAATAAAATTGTTTCAGAAAATGTCCAAGATAACGTGTGTGTGTGTGAGTGTTATCTATTATGCATAAAAGGTGATTGCCAGCACAAATGACTAACTGATTTCTAAAGTTATCTACTTAAGCAGTTCAGTACACATTTAGCTGTGAAAAAAGAGAGTTGTCACTTAAGGATGTTGATAAAGTACATCTTTGCTTTTGTTCATCAACTGATAGCCCCCATGTGGAGATTATGTTAGCATATTCATACTAAAGGATTTGCATAGAAATATCTCACTTTGAGATATTTGTCAGCCTATTATCAGAACGTACATGTACTATGAGCCCTAAAGAAAGTAACTGGGTGGCCTCAAATAATAACTATAGTTTCCCGGAAAAATAGCTTGTTTAATAATCCATACTATCCTAGTTCACACACAAGGTTAAATCATAAACCATGATTAATCATCTGCAAATTCCTAGAATCACAAATCACAGGAAGACAAAATCAAACAAACTGTACTATGGCTTGATACTAGCCAGTTCTGAAGCACACTTGATTCTCCTTTGATTACCATGCTATTCAAATCATTCTCTTCTCTTAGAATTAAGTTTCTCCTATTAGAGAAAGAACTGATTCAATTAAAGCTCTACTTACCATATTTTTGCTAATGACATCTTCAATAGCAGCAGAGTTTAAAGGCACTTGACCGTGCATCTCAAGATTCTTCTCAACACCATTCATCCAATCTAGCATTTCATCTAATCCATCCTGAACACTTAATGAACGAGTCAACGTTATTTGGAGCTTTTCATTACGATTATTCACTGCTTTGGATAACTGATTATATTTATCTACAATAGTGTCTGAAAAGAAAAAAAAGGGTCTGTTGGATTGGGGCAGTAGATAAATCATATACTCATACACACACATATATAAACACATAGACAAATGCAAACATAGTTCATGCTGGTGAACCTTATAATAGAAGGGGCTATCTTCTATAGAATTATATCCTACAGTCCATCTTCTATAAAATTCTATTAAATGATCCAGCAAAACTTAATTCTAAAAGGAAATTTGCCAATCTGAATGTGGCTTCTAAATGTCCTTTAGTAATAAGATCAAACTACAGAAGTCTTCAAGAAGAAATCTGTATGTAAACTTTGTTTATCATAGTCAGAATACAAGCTTAAAATTGAAATGGCTTATCTTGTAAGTTTCCATTTCCCTGCCATAGACAGCCACAGCCTGAATGTTGTGCTATTTCTTAGATCCATAGTACAGGATCCTATCTTGCATTTATTTTCACAATCAGGATTTCGAGAGTGTCAGATTTGTTCCAGATTTGACTCTAAAAGTACCTCAGAAACATAAGATATTTGGCTAAACTCATTTGTCAGTTAACAAAAGGGGTTAAACTGTTTTTCCTTTTCCAACTATGTTTTTTTTAGTTTGTAAAAGATTCATCTGATTTAAATGAAAATTCTTTTCTCTCTTATTTATTTATCCACAATAACTGGTTTTCCTATATTCATTTTTTCCATCTATGTCTAGGAAATTGGTAAAATACCAAAAACAATGGTTCCTTGGAGACAATCATAATATGGATTATGGATATTTTGAATCCATAACATGAAATATGGGTGAAGTTTCACATTAGTCACTTTGACAATATATTTCCAGGGATTTGAGAAAATATGATTCATATTATTCCAGATGTATATCTAGAAATGAAGCACCTGAGATTTGCAGATAACCCTGGTAGGTCCACCCTGTTAAAAACTACCTAAATGTAGCAATCCTAAGGAAGCAGTGCTAAAGCGAAAAGACTACCATTTTAAAAAAAGAGGATTTCACCAAATGTTTTTGAAACTTCCATGAGGATCATTTCCATAATCTCTCTAAATTACCTCACATCTTCATAATGAAGATTGGTAGATGAAATGGGCTTTTATGAATTACATCTCCCAATATGCAATATTCATTTTTCTATGACATTACAGACTATCTTTTGCCCACTTTTATGCAGCATAATTAAGCATGGGTAATAGAATAATAGACATAAAAAGATTAGATGGCAAAATAGACTTATAGAAATTTATTAGCATTAAGTACTGCAAGGCAAAAAAAAAATAGCAATTATGTTGACTAGGAGCTATGTTAAACAGATTTCACATAATCTAGGATTTAAAATAAAAAAAGTTAAGCCTTAAGTTAGCATGCCCAGTTTTCTCTTACATCTTTAGGTCTTTATTCAAGAGTTGCAGTAATCCGTATAGTTTGTTAGACAAGACCAGTTATAATTTTTAAAGAAATGCAGAAACTTCACATATCACCTTCTCTAGATTCTAGGGTTTTAATTTATTGAAATAACAGGGTCAGCCCTAGACCCAAATTTAATTTAACCAGTTATTGACCACACATTTCTTGGTAACAGTCTCTCTATACATTTTGAATTAAGTCGCTGAAATTCATAATTCCCTAATTTAATTTTAGGTATGCCCAGCTAATGCTTGAATGCACTATAAATACATTTTTCCATTTCTTTTCTGCTTAAAATATGAACCAAAATTCTACATGTGCCTGGCTAGTTTTCATGTTCACTAGGCATGTACAGAAGTTCTTTAGATGTAACCTGCTCTTTCAGTGGAAATCTGAAAAGTTTGTTTTCTTTGTTTGTTTGGTAAACAGCTTTTATCTTGCTAAATTCTCTGGTTTTTTTTCTTACAGATGTCTTACATCTGGCTGAAAGATATGACTTGTGTTATATAGCCAAGGACACATTTTGATGTAGAGCAGATGCTCTTTCATAATGTCATAAATAAATGTGGAAGGTCATTGTAACCTTCATATAATTTACTCTTGTATACTTTCTGTCCTTCATCTCAGCCCCAGCGCTCCATTTGCACTTCAAACTGGTTTATACATACACACAAAAGTCAGAAAGTTAGCATGAATCAGCATTTTAAAAAATGATTTGCTACAATCAGATGCGATTTAAAAATATTAGTGCACAATTGAGCCAAATTGAAGCACTATTAAATCCCATGATTTCATATTAAACAATAGCTCTCCCCCCCCTCTAAATTTGAATAAAACCTGGACCATTATTTACTATCCGTAGATTGTATGCATCAAATCTGAGGAGCTGGATCACAAATTTGGCTCAGAACTAAAGAACAAAGGTAGAAATAGATGAGTCAAGGAAGGTGGGAGTCACAAAGAGCAGATTATCCCCAAATGTGAGCAATGGAAGAAGAAAACTGAAGAGGCTGTGACTCATCTTACCCAGTGTTTGCTGGATTTCATCTTTGTCTGGCAATAATTCTCCCCGGGTGTCAAAGAGCACTTCGGCTGCTTTTTTCAATTTTTCTACTGCAACCTGATGACTAGATACTTGTCCTTGAAGCACCTATAAAATTGTACCATTTAATCCATTTATAACTTATTCAAGAATATCTGGTTTAGTCATTGGGTATCATGTTCGACAAAACATGAACTCTGGGTCTGGTGCAATACAAGAAATTAATTTTAATTTTGATTCGAGAAAAGCACAGTCCTATGTAGCATGTTGCTAATTGCACTCTTATTTAATTCCATGAGGTCAGAAGAGTATTTTTTTCTCTGTGACATATTTGTCTCTTTCCTTACCCGGGCTTTTGGTACAGTCACCTCAAACCATGAATGAGGAGCTGAATAATCTGTGATGCAAATTTTCAGTTCAATAATAGACCCATTTTGTTCATTATGTGCAATACTATAACGACAAGAGGACAACTAGAATGTCAAGCACTTCACCAACATAAGTGAATTTGTTGTCCACTGGCACATACTTCATGCTTCATCTTAATACCATGTTAACACACTCTTCTTCACTGGGAAAAATATTTATTATTTCAAAACTACAGCCTGCTAGGAGAGATGTCACTTGGAACAAAAAAGAGACAGGCTGCAACAGAACATCTCTCTCACTTATCTTTCTCTGAACATTTCGCTTTATGACACATGCTTTATGTCACCTTTATCTTTATTGAAGCTGCATTCTTGTTTTATTTCTTTGGACTTTCCCATAGCTGTGCCTTGATTTATTATTTTGCTATTTTCAGTTTCAGTAATGTCTTGACTTTGTTGCATTAAGATGTATTTATTTTTCATTATTGCAACAATAATCACTTTTCCCATGAGGGCTGAGGCAGGTGTTGCTTTGCTTTTTAAGGAAAGCTTTAGAGAATACTAGAAACAAATCTAGGACCTTGGGGAATGAAGAGTATTTTGAACACTTAATCTTGGTAAAAGGATTATCCTATTCATGCAGCCAAGGTCACTGTCTTGGGTCACTATCTCGGGGGATTACTAAGTAGTTGTATCAGCTGCAAAAAGTAGCTTTGGCTTACTTAAATGACAGACTCAAGTACGTATTTTGTGTATGCTTTCCCTAATATCACTTTCTTAACACGTTTTCGTTAATATAAACACTTGAAAAAATTGAAGTATTGAAAGGCATTTGTATTTAGGCTATCATATTTTTAAAAAAATGATCTTGTAATCCCTTGCATCAGGGTGGAGTCGGGCGACAGAACACAGCTGGAGAGTTTACTGGCTGGATGCCGTTCCCTACTCCTTTGTGGGGTTCGCATCAGACAATTACTTATTGAGCCCAAAGAGAGAAATATCTGCCACTATCTAGGATCCAACTCACAGCCTCCTGACTGTGAGGCGAGAGCTCCACCTTTAGGCCACCACACTGCTCATTCAGGCTATCAAATAGTTTCAGGAAAATCTGCATTGGGCAAACTGCATTAAAATATGGAGTGTTTTCCTTACTTTACTTCGTAATCTGCCCTGGCTTTAATGCCTTTAACCTAGCACAAGATTTACCTTGGTTTCTTCTAGCTGCCTTTGAAGATTTTTCGGATCCCCAGCAATTGCCTCAGATAGTTGCTTATTCACAGCTTCTTCACAGTCTTGGAGTCCGGAACGAAGCCCAGATGCAGCGTCTTTGTAATTTTGGTATTTATCTACCAGATCTTTGAGATTATTTCCAAAAATACTACACTAGAAGGACGTAGAATAGAAAACAGCATTTAACAAGAGAAATCATTTTTTAATTATATTTGTAGTTCATAGTAGGAATTTCTTCTTGTATGTACAGCCCCTTGCAACTAGGCCAGCGATAGCTAACTTTTTCGGTATCGAGTGCCCAAAGCATGCGTGCATCCCCAAAGTGCAAGGTGTGCACGTCTCCCACATGTGCGTACGTGTCCCTGCACATGCATCCCCTGCATGCACGTGCGTCCCCCGCACCTGCCCCCCGCCCCCTGCATGTGCCCTGCCCCCCAGCACATGCATGGCAGAGACCCGAAGACCAGCTGGCCAGCAGGAGGCACGTGTGCCCACAGAGAGGGCTCTGCGTGCCACCTCACGGCCTCACCATCATGGCCGTAGGCATTCATTCCGTTCTGATTTTGTCAGAAACTGTTCCATCAATGGATAAAACTTATAAAACAATAAAACTTTATTGTACTTAATTTTGATATATGGCCTTTTCACATTTCTATTGCAATAAATAAACACATGGACATAAACACACAGTGGTAAGATAGATGGGAACTAGGAAATCAGATCAAGAAAATACTTGTGGCTGTTTCACCAGGAAATGCAAAAAACTGATGACAAATTGTTTAGGTGTTTATTCTTATTGTAATCCCATTGGCTGCATCTACATAATATAATTAGCGCATCAATAAATTTCATGTCTATATTTCCACAAAATGCTAATGATTTTATAATATTACAAATTTCTACAGTACAGTAGAAATTTCCTCTTATTCACTGTTTTATCAGCTTAGTAGGAAATTGGTTTTGAAAATATTGGCATATAGCATTTTCCTTTAATGAAGATAAAGGTAATAATTTAAGGGAAGTGTGATACTTCCCTGTGTATGCATTGGAAGAGTATTCATTGGAAGAATCTATGTTTTAGAAGTTTTCTCCTCATTCTTTCATTTTTTTTCTCTTCTGACTACCCAGCGATTTTTATTAATACGCTTAGCACCACCTAGTGGATAAATGCCAAACTATGTTAAAAAAAATTGTCTATGAAACTTAAGATTGTAGCAAAGTAATTAACACTGAACTTTCTATTCACTAGAAGAATTTTAAGGTTTAGAAGTGTGTGTTTAATGAATGCACTGTCTTAACGCAGAACTGTTTGGCCTCAAAGCTGCCTAGCAGTATTTTAGCTCAGGCTAAAACAGTTGATTCACCTACACTGATTCATGTAGGTGAAGGCCAAATCATATAGAAGCTCATAGGTTAAAACTTGAATTATACCCAGAAACCTTGTGGAAAACAATCAAGGCCCAAAGCAAAGGGATAAAGTATACCTGGTGCGGAATAGGTACATAAATCATCAGGAAAAAAAAAAACAGTCATACAGATTTATGTATATATTCCCCACCAATTTTCAGCCTCATTTTCAGAAATGTCACTGGAACTTAGGTCCATTTGATCACTTATCATTCAAAATGACAAAACCCTGAAAAAAAGTTGCTTACAATTGGACCTTGCAGCACTGACAACCTATTGCTGCATTCTCATGAGGCCACATGATCAAAATTTGGGCATTTGGCAATCGGCATGTATTTATTATGTTTCTACCTTCCCAGGGTCACATGATTGCCATTTGAGACTTTCCAAGACAGCTTCTGACAAGAAAAGTTAATGGGAGAAGCTGGATTTGCTCAATGACATGATCCACTTAATGACCACCGTGACTTGCTAAAACAATGGGTAAAAGGTGATAAAATCAGGCATAGCCCAGCAATGAAAGTTTCAGTACCAATTATGGTTTGTTGAGGACTAGCTGTATATCAGCTAGTCACTTTCCCTCAGCCCAATCTGATATGTAAGGATAAAAAAAAAACACACACCAGGAGAGCCAGACTTGGAAAACCGTGAAGAAAGGTGAGATATAATGCAATAAATAAAAAAAAAAATCCCACTCTCATGCAATTCAATTTACCTTAGAGTAGAGATTCTTGAAGCGACTGGTTGCTCTATCCAGCTTATTCTGTACCTCCATGTAAGTTGATGAAGTATCCAGGCCTTCTTTCTCGTATCTGATGCCTTCCATTTTGTTGCAGGACTTAGCTGCCTCCAATACTCTCTGTCCAGCAATGGTAATAAACCGCAGATCCCCTTTGTGAGAAATGACGTCTTCAGAAAAGCTCTTCTGCCTTTGCAGTTTGATGAGGATGCCGCCGAAGTCAGAGGCTCCGATCTCCAGGTTCTCGAGTTCTTGCTCGGCCAGCTGCAGCCAATTTTCAAACTCGGAGTAATCCGCATCGAACTTCTCGAGCTCCTCCTGTAGCGAGCGTGTTAACTTCAGCTTCTGCTCAGATTCGGCCAATGCAGTCTCGTACTGCACCTTCAGCTGCTTTAAGTTCTTGTGGATTTTCTCTTTTTCCTCTGGCAAAAGATGGTGTCCTTGCTTCTCCAGCAGAGCCTGGGCAGATTGGGTTGCTACAATGACAGCTTGTTGCTGTGAAATAATTTTTTCATGTTGCGCCTGGGGGAGAAACCAAGAGTGCCTGGAATTAGGCTTTTGCTCTGCAGCAGGATACCACTTTTAGTAATTCTCTATTCATAGGATATTGAAAATTACTTAGAATCAATAAATGATTCTTTACTATATGCTACCAAGGTGCTAATCTCATTTAATCTCCTATTGCCAAAATGGCCACAGGCAAACAACGTGTCAAAAAAATATTTATTGTAAACTATTTTTGTAATCCTACCTTTATTACTTTTATAAGTACAGGTAGTCCTTGACATGCAGGTAGTCCTTGACTTACAACAGTTCATTTAGTGATGGTTCAAAGTTACAACGGTACTGAAAAAAGTGATTTATGACCATTTTTCACAATTCACTGGCAGCATCCCAATGATCATGTGATCAAAATCCAGACTCTTGGCAACTGGTTCATATAGATGACCGTTGCTATGTCCCATGGTCATGTGACCAATATTTGCAACCTTCTGACAAGCAAAATGGGGAAACCATGGGTTACTAACTTAACTGCAATGATTCCCTTAGCAACTGTGGCAAGAAAGGTCGTAAAACGGGGCAAAACTCACTTTAGCAAATGTCTCACTTAACAACAGAAATTTTGGGCTCAATTATGGTCGCAAGTCGAGGACTACCTGCAGTGAATATATAGTATATAATACTCCTTCCTGCTATTTTCCCCACAACAACAACTCTGGGAAGTGAGTTAGGCTGAGAGAGAATAACTGGCCCAAGGACATCCAGCCAGCTTTTATGCCTAAGACAGAACTAGAACTCACAATCTCCAACTTTCTATCCTGCTACCTTTAACATCACACTAAACTGACTCATCATACACATTTCATCATATATGCTTCTTGGACATACATGGAAGAATGCCTAATATTGAGGTTCGGGGATATTCTCCTGTTGACTTATAGGGGCATTGAGATTCCTATGTATGTATCCTGTTGTTATATTATGTTGGAAAGTACCACAAAGAGTTCTTTTCCACTTTCCTCTGACTCTCTTTCCTGTGACCTTTCTTTTCTTCGACCAAGGTAGAAATCAAAACCACCTCTTGGTTCCACTCTTGAACCTCGTGGGTATAATTTCAAATGAGAACTCTTTGAGCCTTGCAGTACATCAAGAAAAAAGGCAGCACTTCCAATAGATTTAGGGGCTTAGAATGGTCCCAGCAATGAGGTTTGATTCAGTGGTGGGATGCTGCTGGTGTAACAACAGATTTGGTGATTGCTGCATGGGCGTGAACAGCTTTCCGAAAAAACTTACTGGTTATGTTACTACAGGGGAGTAGTAACCACGCGAATCAGCCGAGAGGATATAGGTAAGTACAGCGCAGGGGCAGGCAGGCAGGTGGGCCCACATGCTCATCAGAGTGAACTGGTTCATTGCCAGCTGATTGTCGGAGCTAGGGGTTCGCCCAAACCGAGAGAATCCCATCCCTGGTTTGATTCCACTACATATTGTTTTACACATTCTGGTCTCAGTTTTAAGCAGAGTCCAGAATGTATATTCATTTTGCTCCCTCCACATTTCCACTTTTCCCCTAGAAATGCAGTTACTAATAGGTGTATACATTACCTTAGCTTTCTGATATTTCATGTTGAGATTATCATCTGACAGTGTACGTTGTCCATCTACAAGAGTTTCATTCTGTTCTTGGGTTTCTAGCAAGTTGCCATTTACTTCATCTTCCCCTCCAATCAAATCCTCTCCATCTCCTTTAGGAAAATGAGTACCATTCTGTTTGATTGTTGGCTTGCATTTTGTATCTCTATGATCAGCATCCTTATCTACATTTGACAGCCAATCCAGAAGATTTTCTATCACATTTTTGCTCTCTTCAAGTTGTTGACGAGCTGCAACCTGAACAATTGAAGTACAAACCATCAATAGCTTGCTCAAAAATATTCACAGGTACATACACAAAATGTCCCCAATATATTATAGTAATTCAAATTCTGATTGACAATAAAAGAACTTTCTGGCTATCAAAACAATAAGTCTAAAAATGAATGTGAAAACAAAAACACTCTTCGATTTAAAAAAAATCTTGTTCACTGATTTTATGCTTTCTTTCATTCCTTAAAATATTCCCAGATTATTTGGACACAACAATGGCCAGATTATTTGGATACCAGCAGTAACAGCAATACACAGTAGTAGTCCTCATTTAACGATGGTAATTGGGACTGGAATTTTCAACGCTGCTGCATAACCAAGATGCTTAAAGGCAGCCATTCTGGTACTTTCACTTGCTGTTATTAAGCAAATTCTGTGCCCTTATTCAGTGCAATGCTATGTGTTTACCATTTGAAACCTCCTGCCAGTTTCCCCATTGACTTTGCTTGCCTGATGCTAGCAGTGAAGAACTCACAATGGTGATCGTTTGACTATGGGATATTGCAATGTTGTAATTGCAAACAGGTTGCCGAGCACGTGACTAGGGATGGTGCCTAAGTATCACATATTCAACATCATCATAAATTCAACAAGTGGTTGTTAAGGGAGGATTATTTGTTTTTAGAAGCATTTGGCTACTTGGAAAAACCCATGGAAGGATAATTGCTCTATTCTGTTCTTAGAAAAATCAAGAAAATAACTGGAAAGCTACTATGTTTAGAGAAGCCTCTGCTCTAAGGATGCACTGTGAAACTACACCACTTCTAAGCCTTCTGGAATGGTTTGGGATTTCTTTTTAAACTGCAGTTTGATGAATATATTTATAAACGAATATGGAAATCTAGATAGGTTTGATGAATAAATGAAAACATGTGCAAACATGAATGAATAACGATGATCAACTCTTTCATTTTTCAAATGATTTTTCTGAAATCTCTCACTCATATCAACAAGTACACATGTTAGGAATATAAGACACCTAACAACTATTTGGGTTAGAAATATATAAACCAGGATAAACATTTTAAAACTGTTATCTTTAAGAAAATGCAAAACTGTAATTAGGTGTGTTGTTTTTTTTTCAAACGGCCATAAGATGGAGCTAGAAACCTGACTGATTTACTTGTGAATGACTTTGGATTGCTTATTTTGGACTTTGCTTAAACCTTTCTGGAAGTAAAAACCTACATTTACTGTACAGTGTACTGTGTGTGTATTATTCAAACACTTCTCTCAAATACGTCTCCCTGTATGCGCTCATTCTCCTAACAGGGAATTACCTCAACAACACACAACAGGGAATTATGAAGATAAATCATTTTGAAAGGAAAAGTAAATATTTGCCAAAGAACCTTTTCTGTTTCTTGTTTAATAGCTGTTGTCACAGCTTTATCCAACTCTTTTCTGGATTCCTCTGCCTTCTGGCTTAGCAGCAAACACTTGGTTTTTGCTTCATTCAGTTTCCTCTCAAGAGCAGTCTTATCTTCCAATGGCAGCTTTTCCCCATTCTCTTTCAAGAACATTTCTGTGTCTTTCACGATTTCTGCCAAGGCCTGTGTGTTTGCTTGCATATTTTTCTGCAATTCCTTGAAGAATACAAATCAGGATATCACAATAGTAATAAAAATCAGGAAACCATTTATTTTTTATTAATTAAATGTATTGACCAACCATCTAACCACAGGGCAACTCTATTCAATTTCCTTCCCCTTTTCTGGAATTTTGGAAGCATTTGGGGGAGATTTATTGGGGGAAAATAGAAACTGTAAGCCGTCTGGAAGATTAAAGGCACCTATTTAAATTCCTAAATCCCTGACTTCCTCAGTACAGGCTGTTCGTTTAAATGAGAATTTGCTGAATAATGCATCCATTTGGGGCTTATGTCACAGGCTTAGCAATAATCCATGGTTTGCATTCACAATGTTTTATTTTGCCCATTAAGTTAAAACCACCTTGGGCATGGCATGATTAAACATGAGAAGTGATTCCACTCAGTGCAAATTGGTCCTTGGTGAAATCCAGACTGTTTAGTTTGTTTGTTGCAGAGGGGGTATTCAGCAGGTTCTGAAGAAATGGTAGTGGAAATTTTGAGCAGTTTGGAGAACCGGTAAATACCACCTCTGACTGGCCCTGCCCCCATCTATTCTCTGCCTCCCGAGTCCCAGCTGATCGGCTGGGTCTTCTTTTGTTGCCCTGCACAGGAGAACTGGAGCTGGAAAGCAGATTAGTGGGGTGAGGAGGGAATGGGATTTTGCAGTAACCTTCCCCTGCCACGCCCACCAAGCCATGCCCACCAAACCACACCATGCCCACCAAGCCATGCCCACAGAACTGCTAGTAAAATTTTTGAATCGCACCACCTGGTTTGTTGATACTTAATAATTTACCTGTTGCCTGACTTGGTATTGCTGTAATTCAGTCTTGCTATCTTCAATCACAAGGGCCTCTTTGTGGCCGATGATCTGATTTTCAGTCTGTGTGAGTTGATCGCATATATTCTGTAATTTTTCTTGGAATTCCTGATGCTGATCCATCAAATCCTGTTTCGGAATAAGATCAAAGCTGCATAAAGGCACACGAAAGTTGTTGCGTAAGTTAATTTTCAAGCAACCACATTGCAAAAGCTTTCATTAGAAATTGTTTCCGAAAGTATGCTGTAAACATGATAGCAGTTGCACACAGTTTAAAGAAATGGAATATAAAAGGCATGGATAAACCTCACAAATGCTGTAAGTAAAGAGACCAGTTTGAGATGGAATCGCCCAGCAGAAGTCTGGCCATGCATTAGGCGTGTGAAAATCCAAATTTCTGTCTTGTTCAAAATCTGTAACACACAAGCATTAATTCTAAAAGAGGAATGTCAAAACCAATGTTAGTTGAAAACTGTTAGATAGTTGGTACATGTAAATGTTATCAGCATTGAGATTATGTATGTATTTTAAACACTACAAAAACACATGTGCAATAAGATTCATTGGCTCACTTATCCTACCCTCCCATTCTATGTATTTTTTTCACCTTTGTTATTTTAATAAAGTCCTAGCCTTTTTTAATATGAAGACTTCCACTCCTGGCCCTTAAACACTATCTCTTGAATTTAGTTGGAGTTATTGCCTTTTCTATTAGCTCCATTTTGAAGAAGTCTTCTGACCAAGTGTCTATTTTTCATATACTAGTTGGTGGACATCTCCAGATGGGCAGCTTTGGATACAAAATAAGATCCCAACAATGTATCATTTCACCCATGAAAGAGTGAAAATTATTAAACTGTACAATGGTTTTCCCACATACAAAGGCATTGATGGTTTTGGTTGAACTTGACAGGAATTTAATCACCAAACTCCCCCTTTTTTTCTACATACTCAAACCTTAATTCCAATTTAGATCCACTGTTTGTGTATTATTGTGGCTTGTTTAAGTTTCATTTGAAGCCAAAACGTTCCTACATTGCAAACATTATTATTATGAAGAGTAAATTTAAATGATCATTAAACTTTTGATAACGCCTCTCTAGAATTCTGAAAGATAAACCCAGTATTCAGCAGCTTCAAAGTTTAGGTGGACTGTAATTTTGGCACTCTGTTGCTTTATCTATCTAATAAAAGTAAGCACAAGGCTACAGAAAGAAGCAAACCTGCTGATCAATAAGAATTTGAGCTGTTTGTAAGAGAGATTCAAAATGATCCACTTGAGATCTTATTTTTTCTTGCATTTCCTGGAAGTGTCGTTGTGTAGAATTTAAAAGCCTCAAGAGTTGCTTGCTTTGGTTTGGGGAAAGATCTTGGGCATGTTCAGAAATGAAGAACTGAATATCAAATGCTGTGGATTCCAGTTGCATTTTTCTACACCCAAGCTCTTTTTCTTGGTCCTGCAAATTAAGCAAAGAAAGCCAGATAATATTCTAAACAACAATATCAGGAATTAGAAAACCAGCATCATTAAATATGTATATGAACTTGTTTCAGATTTTATTTTGTTCATGAAATTGTCAAGAACTATTTAACCAAACCAACTGTTACCTAGATGTAATCTATTGCAACTCCTATCATCTTTAAAAGGTTATGTTTTATGATGATGAGGTTGTGGTCCAATTTACCTGGAAGGTATCTGCTTGGAGAAGATTGATTAAAAATTCTGGAATCAGAATTATATAAGACAAACAATTGGTACAGAAGTTCATCATATTTAGACTGATCATGCTGCATTTTCATAATCCAGAATCTATTAATCAATACTTTGTATATTGAAATTACTCAAAAATTTAAAAGATTTAGCATTTGATTGCATATGCTGAACATGGCTCAAATTCATTAACTCATCATACTTCATGGCACTTTTTGTCAAAGTTAGCAACTTTAAGATGTGACTGGGGAATTTTGGGAGTTTAAATCCAAATATCTTTATATTTCCAAGTTTGAAAAACATTGATCTACAGCCGGGTTGTCAAACTCATGGCCCACGAGCCAGATGTTTCATGCGCTGGACACGCCCACCCCCAGTTTAGCAAAGGGGGGGAAAGTCACAACACATCATGTGATGAAAATACGACTCCGCAAGTTTCACATCCCTGATCTACAGTATTAAACTCCACAAAAAGAATTGTAGTATCAGAAGCATTCATTGCCATAAAAATAGTAAAGTTGTACCATCAGAGTCATATTTCTCATAATATTTGTGACACTTATTATAGAGTTAAAAAACTCCATACTGATAAAACTCCAATTGAAAATTGATACTTCAAATCTATTATATTTATCTTTGATTTTATTATTCAAGTTACGGATTTTAGAATCGTGAAGCTTTAACTATGCTAAGGCTATAGCTACTTTATTCTAAATAGTAACATATGGAAAATATAATAACTAATTTATTAAATGGTATCCTTAATATTTGTAGAGGTACACATTTGGTCCTACAATGAATTGTATAAATTATTTTTTACTGTAGAGCTTTACAGCTACTATAATAATTTAGTGCAATCATTACTGCTACCTATACAATATATACAAAATAACTAATTCAGGAATCATTGGTAACTTGAATCAATGATAAGTGAGAGTGATTCCAAGTTGTCATTTGCAATGTCCCATGTCTGGCAGCAGTGGAAGCTTGCTGTCTTTCTGCCTTAAACTCCTTCCTTTTCATATGTATGTGATGTCACAACACAAGTACAAAAACTATGGGGCTTGTATCACAAAGGTCCAATGTTGCTTCTATTATTCTATCCCACCATTCTCCCCCCAAAATAACTGTCTGGAACAGGGGTCTCCAACCTTGGCAACTTTAAGACCTGTGGACTTCAACTCCCCGAATTCGTCAGCCAGCTTGCTGGCTGAGGAAATCTGGGAGTTGAAGTCCACAGGTCTTAAAGTTGCCAAGGTTGGAGACTCCTGGTCTAGAAATACATGTAATTATCATTAACTACCAATTTCTATTTAGACCTGCCTGGTGGCGAAATAGGCAGGAAATAAATTTAATAAATAATAACTAATACTTGCCTTGGCTAACTGAAGCTTTTGCTTCACATCTTCCACATCACCAATATTCACCATCTTCAAATTATTCATCGTTTCACTTTTTTCAACGATCCAATCTGTGAACTCTTGAAGACTGACTAAAAGTTCCTCATGCAACACAGCAAGTTTGGCCTTTTAAAAAAGTGTTTAAAAGATATATTTTGCGAACAGCTTTTTCAGACTTAAGTAAGAAACCAGAGCATTCTTAGATTATAGCAAGCCAAAGCAAAACAAAATTGCTCTTATATTGTGCCTGAGTTTTGAAGATCTGCAAAAGTCATTTTATGTTATCAGTCCAGACACTATGAGGCCTCCCTTTTAATCCATAACAGTCTTCCCCTATTAGACACAATGGAGCTTAAGCAAATCTTTTTTATTTTATTTTATGTGGAGTAATGGAAAGGATATAGCTGGGAGAGGAACAGAAGAAATAAAAAAAGAGATGAAAGGGATAAAGTATATGTAGTCCTCGACTTAACAACACTTCATTTACTGACCAGTCAGAGTTACAAAGGCACTAAAAAAAGTGACTATGACTATTTTTCATACTTATGACCATTGCAGCAACCTCATGGTCATGTGATAATAATTCAGACAGTTGGCAACTGACTCATATTTATGACAGTTGTAGTGTTCTAGGGTCAGTGATGACTTTTATGACCTTCTGACAAGCAAAGTCATTGGGGAAGCCAGATTCATTTAACAACTTACCAACTGCAGTGATTCACTTTAGAACTGGACAAGAAATGACGTAAAATCATGCAAAATTCGATTAACAACTGTCTTGCTTAGCAATGGAAATTTTGGGCTCAATTGTGGCCGTAAGTTGAGGACTACCTGTACCTGAATTTAAAAGCAAGGTAATATCAATAAAACCATAAATTTGTCATCAAATATTTCACATGATTTTACTCTATTATATTTTAAACTGGGTATTATTTTAAGATAATGTTCCTGATCAGAGCTTGGGATTCATGTGAATTTTTAAAAAGTAATTAAGCAAGCAAGCAAGCAAGGAAAGTATGGAACATGAATTTACCATTTCAGAGTCTACAGCAAAGACTATTTGCTTTGCTCGGTTTGAAGACATTTCACAGACCACAGAGAATTTCCTCTCTAAGCATTTATAGCTTTCTTTTAGATCTTCCAGTTCCTGCTGTGCAGAATCATCTCTGGATTGTAATTTCAGAAAGTCTTCTGCCAACTTCATATCTTTTCGCAAGGTGACAGCAAACCGTGCAAGTCCTGATTCAAATGCCTATATGTATAAAAAATAAAGTACAATATATCGTAGTAATATGAAATGAGAATAAAAATAGATGAATTCTACTCTTCATTCTATTAATCAGAATGAATTATATTCTATCAGGTAAAAAATCAATTTGTATTGCTATCAGAAAAAAGGAATAATGAAATTGACTCCTGTGTAATATTACCACTCCTCCTCCTAAAAATTGTAACTTTACACATTAACCTTTCTTTACATGCAAATGATATAGTGCATAAACACATAATTCAAATGGTGAAGACCTGAACTGAAATCCTATCTCAGTCATATAAGTTTGTATCTGTAAGCCAGGTACATTGCTTAAATAAACAAACATTTCTATACTAATCCTACTTTTAATGAAAATCAATAATTTACCTCTAATTGCTCAAGTTGTACTTTTAGAGCTTCCAAGTCATTACTGATGGGCTGCAGATCATCTAAGAGAAATTTCATATCTTGGACTATTATCAAGTGCCTTCTCAGGTTCTCTGTGTACCAAGAACAGGGCTGCAGAGCACTGGGCAACTGGAAACATTATTGAACAACAGGTCATTTTAGCAAAACTATTTATAAAAGCAATTCATCCGCATTTATTATTACTCACATTAAAACAAACTCTTTACAACTGTAGTTTAAAAAAAGACTGGAGAATCAACTTAATTTTTTACCAGTGATCCTACAATGCTAACAACTTGAGAACATTTACGTTTCTTTATAGGGCATTTAAAGCAATTTCCTTCCAGTTTTGACATGTTTGATGAAATGGTACAGCCACTCAAACAAACAAAACATAAATACAACAGTGTAAAAGTTGCTGCTCACCGTGCTTGTTGCCACAGATCCTGGAAAAATTTCCTTCATTTCCAAGGCATGATCACAAAAGTGTTCTCCTGAATGGTATAGTTCCTTAGACTGATTTGTTTCCAACATAAAAGTGTTACTGCTTATAGCTGGGTTCTTTGAGCAGGCAACTGATTTTAATTCTGATACATCTTTAGTTCCATTTGGGTTGGGAAATAATTGGTCAAGCTGAGAAACTACTTTCACCTGACTCCTTTCAGTCTGGTCTTTGTCGCTGGTGATTCCATGTTTGCCATTGTTTTTATGATTAGAAGTATCTTGCTTCAGTATATCAAGGAGGAGATCAGGACTGCTATTATGAAGCCAAATACCTGGGGGAGGGTTGTGTTCATTTGCACTGATGCAAGGTGGATTGACCAAAACGGCTGTTTCGGCAACGTTGTTTTCATCTTTGTTATCAGATTGTTTAAACTGTTCCTGATGCATAGGATTAACAGTTTTAAATATGTTTTGCATTAAAGCCCTTGTGCCAGTATAACTTAAAAATTTATCTTCCTGATTGTAGTGAATGCAGAGATCGTCTATTCGGTTTTTAAGTGTATTTGGTAAGGTTTCATGCAATGTAGCAGGGACATTAGACAAGTGTATTTTCTGATCCTCTATTAAAGGAAAATCAGGCGGATGCGTTCCTTTTTGTGATAATTGCACATTGTTTTTGGTGGCTTTTTGTAAGAAAGTAGAATTATTATCTTGAATGTCCTCTACCTCATCATTTCTTTCACTACTGTGATTAACAAGTATTTCATGCATATTCTGTTTTGTACTAGGCCAGCTGTTACCCATAGTGCCTAAAATATCAAAAAAGGAGCCCACTGTTTGCAAATGTTCCTTACAACCCATTCCAACTTTGCTAATTACTTCTTCGGAAGTTTTATCTTCCATAATAGCAAAGCTCTCCGATTGGAGAGTTTCATGATATAATTTGGAATGTTCTTCTCTTCCTTTGGTGTCATTCATTTGAATAGGTTCTGGTGTATCTGATGTCAGAATCCGGAAACTTGGTTCTTCGGAATGCTGTTTTGTTTGGATTTTTTCAGCTTCCATTCCATTCTCTTTATTGCCTCTTTCAATTTCCAGGACGTTGGATGAAACTCCCCGTGTCAGCGCTAAGATATCCTTGGATTTGATATTTTGTGCACACTGCTTTAAGTAAGTAGCAAGGTCAACTACTTTATTATCATGGTCAATAGTTACGTCTGTAGCCAAGCCACTAGGTTGTACAAAGGATCTAGCTTCATTTGAAAACTGATCAAGACTAGCTTTCTCCTGACATGAGTGAATAGTTTCACAAGGGTTTTTAACACCCAATGAACAATTCTTTGTCAAGCTTCCATCTGATTCCTGGATACTATCTTCCCACAGAAGACATACTCCATTTTTATTCTGTTTCCCATCACCCATGGTATCATGTACTCCATGACTTTTCTTACAACTCAGAAATGACATTTCTTTTACATCATGCCTGATAGCCTCGTTGTGCTCAGAGAGCAAGGTGTTTTGAAGAACAGTGGCATTCTCAGAAGCCATAATTTGACAGTAGTGTGCTTCAAACTTTCTTTCTAAGAAAGGTTCTGAAACCTTTCCAGCATCTTTCTGGCTTTTATCTTTACTTTTATCACTGGTTATATTTTGACAGTCATCGACATTGTTTCTTTCAAAACAGAGTAAGCCATTTTTCAACTCTACTTGCAAGTTGTAGTCATGTTGAGTAAAGTTGTCTTCTGCTGTTTTTAGAAACTGCTCTTTCTTGTCCCCTAAACACTGGCTGCCAGTGCTTATACCCTGGCACTGTGAGTAATGCATTTCCATCACTTCCTCATTCTCATAATCGGTCTCATCAGATGTATAATAATCAAAGTCTACATAATCGTAACTATCAAAGTCATCTTCACTTTCCTTATCCTTATTGCCCAAGTAATTATCTACAGAAATGCTTTCTTCTTCAGTATTATCAGAATAATTTTCTTCTTCAGTACTACTTTGCTTTTGCCTATCTCGTTTTATTTCAGCTCCATCCAATTTTCTCAAGGAGGTAAAAACCTCATCTCTTTCTTTTTCCCTCCATTCTTTGTCTACATTTCCAGCCCCTTCTCCCTTCTCTTCTTGAACAGTGCCTCCACTGAATGGTTCCTTACTCACGGTTTCAGGTGTATCATCATTATCCAATTGACCAAAGCACAGAAAAATCTCCTCTTTCTCATACAGAAGATATTTTGATGCATCTTCTGTTGGTTTATCTATAGCAGTTTTAATACACTGTACATCATCACCTTCTTCTGGAATAATAATTCCCTTATCTGCAGAGGACCTACTCATATCAACTTCAGCCATATTATCAACAATATCATCACTATGATCATTATGTATGCTGCCATCTTTATGCTGAGCTATATCACAAAGGCCTAGACTATCTCTGTATTCATTACTACTTTCCGAAAGTGGAGTGATACGTTTTCTTTCATCCTGTGTTTCACAAGGCTTACTATTGCTGACTTCTAGAAGTGAGCTATTAACATTCACAGATGGCTCATTAAGTAATCTAAGATGGCTATCTATACTGACAGGTGAACCATCAAGAAATCCAGAACTGTTTTCTGCCAATGTTGTACCAATATTGCCTTCCACTGGAAGGCCAATGTGAGTGATAATATGATCCATCTGAAAGGGCTCAATGGATGTAATGTCACATTCAGATGGTGGAACTCTGAAAGACTTAGCACAACAATCATGCAAAGTTCTACTATCTATGTTACTCTCATTTATAGGTTTGTGATTTACATTAATATTGCTCTCCAGAGATTCATTTCGTTCTGTTTTAATCTGTTCCTGATTTAGAAAGGTGATGTTGTCTTTCAGAGGTGGATCATCCTTAGAAAAAGTATTTTCCATCAGAGATGTCCAATGGCTATTCATACAACTATCTAATAATAGGTTATCAGGAGTAGGCCCTCTAGGTTCCAAAGGAGATACACTGTAATTATTATTATGGGATACAGCAATGATGTTAGCATCAGACTGTAATATCCCTTTTTCATTACAAGCCCCTAATTCTTCCTGAGTAGGATCTTTTAAAGATATAAGTCCAGTTTTCACAGTGGTAAGTAAACTATTCTGCAAATTAACATTTTCTTCATCTTTTATTAATATAATTTCTTCATTATCCTGCAGAATGTGAGGTGGACATTCCTCGGTGTTGTTTGGTAGTTTTCTTCCATTAGTAAATGCTGAAGGATTATTTCTATCCAAAACATGATCTAATTTACCGAAAAGATTTTCCTTGCCACTCTCTTTTTCCCTGTCTGTCATGCATTTGCCAACTTCATTTCTGCTTAAAATAAGATGTCCTTGCAAATGCTTATCCGGGGACTCTTTTGCCTCATCAGCTTTACCACATGATTGGTTAACTAAATTCTGGTGAGCGTCTTGAAATCCCCCGCTGTTATTGTTACTAAGCATACTTTGGATACTTGTCTCTTGACCTAAAGCACTGCCAGTAACAGAGTTAAGTATTACATTTTTAGGCAGTTGCTCAAGATATGGACCCTCCCTGTTTTCAGGAGATTCACAAAATTGTTCTTCGGTTCCATCTGTAATGCATTCAGAGTTCTTGACATCCATTAACCAACTGACAGCCTCATTTAAGTCACCACAATGCAACAAAAGCCTCTGGCCTGTATTTGCATCCATATAACTGTTTATCATTAGGTAAGACATGAACAGCTTTTGATTCTGTTGGGAGTGGTGACTTGTGGTGTTCGGATGTTCAATGTCCTTTCTTTGTTCACTCTGTGTAGATGCATGGAATTCACAAAATGAGAAACATCCTGAAGCCCTTTTCAACGGGAATGGCACATTATCCCCGTTCGGCAATTCATCAGGAAGGGTAATGTTACTCAAAATGGATAAAATGTTACTATCTATAATTCCTTGCTGGGCTGCATTATTTAGGCTGATGACTTCAGAGGTTTCTGGAATATATAGTGCTGCTATTTTTTGCCTCCCATCTAGAATTTTGCTGGCCAGTTCATTAGAGATCATGCCTTGATGCAAAGATATAGATACAGGGAATATTTCGCCACTGTGTGGCCAAATGAGTCCTACAAAACCTTGCTGTGACTCTAACACCAGCAAGGCACAAGTAGAAGAGATCAGGTTGCACTGCACAGCTTCATCTACAGTCAAACGTTTCGGGGAGTTTGGTGATAGGATTCCACCTCTCTGAACTTGATGAGTCAAAAGAGCACAGCCAGTATCTTGATCTATAACTCCTTCCTTCATTGCTTCTTCGACAGTCATCCTGTGACCTGAATTGGGATTAATTAAGCCCCCAGAAAGTAGCTGAGCATCTAATAGCCTGAACATAGTCTCCTTCTCTATGAGTCCTTCATGAGCTGCCCTTGTAACAGTGACTTTCCTTCCACATTTTAGTGTTATTTTGCCTCTTTCTTGAAGAGCCACTGGTAAAAACCTTAAATTTGTTTCTTTGTGTATGACAGTTCTTTCAAGAAATTCCTCAAATGATAATTTTTCTGCAGTGTTGGGATCAATAAGGTCTCTAGATGTATCCTGGCTTTCTAGGATCTTAGCATATAGTGCTCCAGAAATCAGGTTCTTTTGGAAAGCTTTGTGCAAAGTTAATGGTTCTTCTGAGCCGGCTATTTTTAGATATCCTCCAGAAAGCTGGATCTCAAGAATTTTAACAGCCAAAGATTCTGAAATGATTCCTTGCTCCAAAGCAGTCACAACCGGGATTGTGGTTGCACTTGGTTGAGAAATAACCTTCATAGCGTTCTGCAAATCTTGCAGTTCTGATGCAACTTGTTCATCAACAAGTTTAAGGACCTTTGCTTGTTCAAGATCAAAGTTCTTTCCCGAGGTAGATGAAATTAAACCAGATAAAATAATCTGCCTCTGAAGTAATTGGATTCCAGTGTCATAGTCAATAAGGCCTTTATAAATTGCCTGGAAGACTGAAAACGTATCTTCGGTAGTCTGATCAATGATGCCAGCTATGACTTTGTCTACCTAAGAATATAAAGATACATTTTTTTCAGTATCCAATAAATATTAAAACATGAAATCTCTGAATTTAAATACTTATCTGCAGACGACAATAAAAGTCATTTACTTACCAGATTTGGAGCAAGACTGTGAATGTTAGCAAGTCAATGCAGAAATGATCTATGTCAGTGATTCAACTGCACATGGTGCGATACATAATTGAGACACGGCATGCATCAGCAAACCAAAAGTTTATGTTCTGCACACATCAACAAGGTTAGTGGAATACAAGAGAGTCAATGATCATATAGCGAGTGAAAAAGACACGTTCCTGGAAGACAAACTGTCATGCCATCTATGTGGTTGTGAGAAGTTAAGGATATTCAGAAAATAGTGATACCAATAATCATGCTACTCATGTTTACAGCATACAGCACTTTTATGTTGACACCACTATAACCACCTAAATGCATTGCAATTGGTTTGCATTGAAAGCCATCAATTAGAAACATTTAATACACGTGATATTTTTTTCATATATATATTTTGCATGTATTAACTGACATTCTGTAATGCTTTTTACAGATCGTGATAGGCCTTAAGGTATTTATCTCACAATTAATGAGACTGCCCTTTCAAAAGTATGTAACCAGCTGAAATTTAATGAACTTTTGAAGTAAATATACAAAGTAAGAAGTATAATCTACCAATTTTTTGTACGGTGTCAGGATTCTGAAACATAGAATTTGTAAAAGATGGGTTCTAAAAAGAAAAGTAAGTGATGTATGATTTTTTTTGTTCTTAGTTCATGCAAGACACAGATTTAAAGATTTATTCATAAATGCATGACTATATTTTCCTTTCTATACATTGAGTTATAATTCCTATTACACAAAAATACTGAAAATTCTCATTTAGTCCTCATTTTGTCTGATGCATACAACTTAATGCAGGATTTTTTTTTGAAAAAAGTATTAATATACAGTTCTATACCCATGCAGTAAGTAAGATTTAGACAATATGATTATATAGGTTTTAGGCTACCTTTGCATCCATGTTTTCATCTTCTATATTTCTTTCCTCCTCCAACTGTATCAAACCTTCATTGGATAAGAGTTTGGAACACTCTTGCAAGGACTTTATATGATTTTCCATTTCGTTTTTCTCCTCATTTGTCATTCTATAAAACAAATAAAAAATAGATTGCAATAGCATAGAATAAGCCATAATTCTGATAAATGTTGGCTTACCAACAACCTGAACATTAAGGTAGTTCACTAAAACATTCCTCTTCCCATAAGCAACAGAACAAAACCAGAAATAATTTACAATCTGAACTTGGGTTCCTAGATTCATCAACCAGAAACAAATCCTATTTAAATATTTTGCTTTGTAAAAGCAGCAATTTAGAAGACTACCTTGTTAGGTTTAAAACATTAGTACTGCTACATGAATAGTTTTCATTGCAGTAAGAATACCACTTTATGTCAGTAAATAAAACCTCATAGAAGAAATAATTACAGGATTCAAAAATGAATTTAGAAACAATATAGCTGCATATGGCTGCCTCTGAAAATAATGGTGAGCAATTTGATCTGGATTATTCATTTGTAACCTATCTTCCTGGATGAGACTTTGCATTAAATGTACACATTGTATTTTTTACTGTGCAGTGTTTTCACAAGTGAACTGCAAAATTCCATGGATAATCTAGGCCTGAAGTATTGTTTACAAAAAAAAGTAGTTTTCTGATGCTACATACTGTAGAGATGCACTGTGGCCAGTGTAATATTTCTGAATGTCATGCGGAAGACTGCAAGCTTGGTATTTGAAGATGGAGATTCATGCACTTCCATTGCAACACTTCACTAAAAACCATTTTACTTGTTTAGAGAAACTGGCATATTTTATTATTCTTCACAAGCAGCTACAAATAGCCATAGCCATGATACCACCACTTTCTAATTATTTATTTGATAAATAATACACCTATAAATAATCTACAAATAATATTCTATAAATAATAGAATCATTTGCTAAAGATGATGCACAACAGAATGCAAAAGGCTAACTTAAAAAAAAAACTACCATTAAAGCCAGCTCATAGCTTCCAATATGATGAGGAGAAAATAATCCCCCACTTCTTCAAGGAAAATTGAGAATGACTGAAGCTGGATTCAACAAAAATTGTATTTGAGAGAATGATCGATGCACCACACACTGAGTTATAACCAGGGGTGGGCTGCTGGGGGTTCACAGGGGTTCACGAGATCCTCTAGCTAAGATTCTGCAGTTTGGAGAACCCCCCAAATCCCACTCCTGGCTGGCCCCACCCACCCCTCCCCTCCCAGGAGTCCCCATGTGGCCCATTTTGGATACAGGTAAGTGCAGGTTGCATGTGGAGGCTCAAGAAGGGTGAAAAATGGGCCTTCCAGAAGTTTAGGAAGGCTGGAAACAGGCCCATTTCTGGCTCCCAGAGAGCTTCCGGAGCCTGAGGAGGCTGTTTTCACCCTCCTGGAGGCTCAAGGAAAGACTCCGGGGGCCAGGAAGGGCATAAATGCCCCCTCCCCATCGTGGTGCAGGAGATCATGCCCACTATGGCCACACCCACCCAATCGGGCAGAGAACCCATTGCTAAAAAAATTTAAGCCCACCCCTGATTATAATTCCCATTATTCTAAGATTTGAACAGATTGACGATTAAATCTAAGATCTGCTATTAAGATAATAATTTGTGGGTATAATGTAATTAGGATCAGGGGAAATTTATAAACAGGAGGGTTGCCAAAAAGTAGGCAGCCACAAGTTACACAATTACATCATAGTCATTAGAACCAATATCTTGGTTCCCTTGTAATCATAAGCAAGTACCAGCAGAAGGAAAGTCACAATGTCTATGAAGATTCTCAATCATCGAGGTTCTGAAGGAGCTTCTTGGATGAGAAGCGAAATGTTTTCAAGGGGAGAAAAACCAAGAAAGTCCAGTTGTCTTTGGGAAAAAAGCACCTTTGGTACAAGAAAGACCAAAGTTCCTTTTCAAATTAATTCAAACCCCTTTTCTTAAGTTTCAGAAATTATACCTGATTCGACATATCAAACGACTAAATGGTGTTACAAAGGTTGAAATAGCATCATTAAATTTCAAAATAAGTTTAACATACTTGTCACCATGTTTTGCTAAAAATATCTGTGTTCCTTGCAAAGCCTCTGATAGCTGTTCTTTCTTGGCTGATAATTCATCAGAAGAAATCTGAAAAATAAGAAAGCACATTCAAATAGCTACAAGGCTCTAATAATAGACTTCAAAATGTACTTTAAGCAATATATTTTAAGATTAAGCATAAAAAGATATGTATTTAAAGCATATTGGCATTTTGATAATAATACAGTATAGATTGCCATGCCTGCTTTGTCCCTGAATTAATGTATTGCTTTTGAATAAGTCAGATCATATTGTGTGTGTATATATATATATACAAGCATACATATACACATACAAAAACTGTCACAAATGTGCTAAGATGGGCATTCTTGTATCTTTTTTTCTTGGGAACAGAGGCCAGGAACTTTAATCAAAACTTAGAACTGAAATATCCCAATGTATGCTTTGTTAGAAGAGCAATGACACAGCTAGTTTAATAGAAAAGAAAAACGGTATATGAAAACTAATATTAAATAAACATGTGCTAATTAGCCTCTACTTTCCCCCCTTAAACTGTACTGGGCTTTGCTTTAAGTAAGCCTTTGTTGTCAAGTGAGAACAGGCTGATTTATTTGTATTTCAGTTTTATTATTTTTATTATTTTATAATGATATTAAAGTGAATACACTCAATATTCCACCGATAGTTGAAGATAATTATGCATCTCAAAAGCTTATTTCTAGTTTTTGTTCTTGTTGTTTTGCATTAGCTGGAGGAATATATGTATCACCAGGCAGGATTTTTGTTTACCTGTTTGGGGGAGGTGGAATGCTGAAATTACTATGGCAAATTAGGATTCTGATATTTCATTTATGACTGATTCTAAGTCGAGTTCTAAATTATACCAATTATCAGTTCTTCTTAGTTGAAAACAAAGACTGTATTAACTTTGACAAATCTTTTCCTAAAATGGACTGGAGCCAAGTCAAAGACGTAATTATCAAACACCTTCAGACCTCGGACATATTAATAAACTTTTTTTAAAGGACAATCTACAACCTTCCCTTTGGGGTTCAACCTGAGCTACACATATTCTTTTCTACTTGAATTTGCAGTTCATTGCTACTATGAGCCTACCTTGGACATACAGTATCATCGATAGCTTGAAAATGAATGGAAGAACATCAACATGAGCTAGAAGAACTTGTAGATCTGAATGACTAAGCTTTTATTTGCTATTCTCCAGTCTTATCTTTAATTCGCTTTTGCCTTATGAGACTGCCAGAAGCAAAATATTAGGTGAGATGCAATCTAAATGCAATTGAAAGTTTACGCAGTTCATAAGCTTTTCAAGTGTTCAAATTAATTTAAAATTATAGTAATCGCCAAACTGTTCTGAGCACTAAGTGGAATGTTTCATTTATTGTGAATGGACACTATCCATTAGGTTCCTACAGCAGTCATAAAAATATCTACTGAAGGAATACTTGCTGTAGTTCCAAATATTTTTTTTTATATAACCTAACAGTTCTACCAAAAGACCTAATATCGTCATATAAATAAAGGCTAAAACAGCCGACAGCCATCCACAATCCTTATTACTACTGAAAGTATTTCTTTGTAGGTGACATTCTGTCAGGAGATTAGATTCTTACTATCCTTATCCCGGAACATCACAGCATTTACTTCAGAAAGCTGTGAGACAGTCTGTCTGAAAGTAGGGGCAGAAGAACAGAGGGATATCTTTTTGTTAGCACTGGAAGTAGCTACACTTTTCTGTCTTCTAGAAAGTGACTGCCCTGAATGATCCAGGTGAGCTAATTAAGGCACTAAAATAGACTCTTTGGATTGCGCATAGTGACAATCCAGGGCTATTCTCACAGGCCATATTTTTTTTAAAGCCAGTTCCTTTTTCTTTTGTTTCTCTGAATGCTCCCAGGATTGAACTGTGTTTTGAAACTAAGATATAAGTATGAATATGAAAATATTCTCCTGATGGCTAATTCTGTCAGGTCTGCACTGAAGAGTCTGATATATGGAGCACAATGAATATGCCTTTCTATCAAAATATTTTAAGATACTCTGAAGGGAGAAATCAGCAGGGGAAGCAGCCACACAAAACAGATCATCATCTCTTTAATTACAGTGAATATCCATGACGACATTGCTTTGGATTTCTTAAAAGAAAAATATCGAGCTTACTTTCTTCTGACTAGAACTGATAAGATTTAAGAAAAAATTTGAATCCAAATTTATAAAATTTGCCTGTTACAGTAATATTCACTGAATGGATAGAAACTAGTTAAAAGCGTTCTACTCAGGCAATTTTTTTAAGTATATCTAGCAAAAATATATCTATGATGCTTCATTCTTGGTTGAGAAATATTTTCTGAGGGAAACTTAGAATTAATATGTTCAATTTATGTATTAGGTAAACATTTTAAATTTTAACAAAAGGAGGATATTTTAATTTACTGTAAATTAAACTTGAAGGAATTTTAGCAGAGTTCACACAACATACTATGCTATGATTTGTTTACCCAGATGTTGCTGAATAAACCAGAAGAAGCTAGGTTCACAGACCATACTCTACATATGAAATTGACTCTTTGGAGGTTATGCAACAGAAATCAGTAATGATAGATATGCGCTTCCTATCATTTTGTTGGCCCTATGAAAATACCATGGACTGATGAACCGTACTTTCAAATATAGTTCTTTACTAAGAGTGGCAATCTGATTCACATAACCAATCGGCCCTGCTTGGGATGGTTAAAAGACGACATGGATATTCAAAAATTCACATCTTTTTTTTTTTAAAGATGTCCCTACAAATCATCCAACTGGTTGGCCCTGACATTCTGGAGATGTAAGTTATTTTAGCAGTCATAACCCCTGTACACCTCATTCCAGATAGTTTTTTTTTTTTTAAACGCAGCCAGATACCACTTGGAATTGAGCAGGCGCCTTCATGGCCCATTTCCAAAATTGTACATCGACAAACGGTAAGTACAAAGTAAGAAAACATTCTCTAAATGTTAATTACCTTATGGAATCGTTACAAGTTTATTCTTTGAGAAAACTGATTTATAAATCTAAATAATAGTGTATGTTTTATGAAAATTTGAAGCCAAAGGAGAATGTTATTGGGACTGATGCAGGGCATACAATGGATCTTGTCTGAGACCCTTCAGCTTGTTGGTATGAAGGAATGAAATAATGTTCACAAGCCACAGTTGACTCCTTAGTAGAACCACAGACATGCAAAAATCAAACATTACAGGTCCAGGCAGCTGTTTATTATACACACTGAAGCAATGATTTAATACCTGCTTCTTAAGAAAATCTGTTTTTTCAGCCCTTTCTCCACTGCCTTTGTTGAGGCTCCTGGTGATTTCTGTAACCCATTTCAGTAAGTCCCCAGTTTTTTCAACATGTTCTTTCTTTTCTTCTTCCATTGATTTCTGATGAACAATGAGCATTACAAATACAGAAATATTTAAAACTGCTGAACATTAAACAATAGGTACAGACCAAACATAACTATTCTGTTAAATAAACTTTATTTTTATCCCAGTTGCTGGTGTAAAATTATGTATGGATGGAGGGGGCGGTGGGGGAGATTAACATTTTAAAAAAATATCTACCGTTATTTGAAGACGTTTTTTTAAAAAAACAAGATAGTCATTTGATACATTTGAACACATTTGTTTGTAAAGAGCTGATTCAATGCGTACGACAGAAATCATTATTGTTCTAACAACGGGAAGGAAAACTGTTATTAAACCACAGCTTTTGAATTAATTATAAACCCACACCTGATATCATGAAGTTAGAGAGGTTACCACATTTCATTAATATAAAATACCTAAAACCCTTTCCCATAGACAAAATGTCATACAATTTTTATTCATCAGGCGATAATTGATTCACCAGAAAGGAACCCTAGTTTGACAGTTGTATAGCCATTTCCACTAATAATTTAAGGTTCCAATTAGAAGAAATGTAAAGACCAAGTGCCAAAATAAACAGAAAAAAAATCATTTTAATTGTTATAACAGGAGTATAAAACTGTCCTTAAATTTTTTGACTGACCAATCTTAAATGTTTAAACTAAGATATAGGGCTCAATGAATATAATTCATTATCAAATAGTTAAAATTGTACTACCTTGACAGACTTAGCTTAATAGAAATTTGCATCTGCTAACCTTTTTCATATATTTTTTCATATAATTTATCTATGAACCTCTGCAAGTTTATAATTCCATGTTTTACTATTCCCTAAAAATGGGCAGTAGTTATGAAGATCAGCATTTAAGTGTCATTATGAGAAACTCTACACACTTAGCGCTCTACTGTAGTTTGCTGGAAATCCTGAAATTCATGATTTTTTAATAACTTACACTGATTTGATTACAATGGAATATATCTTAAAAAAATAAATTTAAAAAATTCAGCTGGAATGGCAAAAAACAGATTAGAATGAAATGAAACATATAATTCATCTTGTTATAAGCTACTATTTTTATTTATAGAAAACAGCAACTGAAGCACAATCCAATCATAACTGAAGTACAGTTACATTATGAGAAAAATTAAGCATGAATTTAAATCTTCCACAGAAATCTGTAAAACATAGAAATATCTAGCTTTTATTGTGTTCTAAGGTTACAAGCATAGAGCAATACTAGATTTAGAGTATGCAAACAACCATCTATAAGCAAAACCAAAATGTGTTGCCAGGAATTGAGTGATTTTTTTTCCCTCCACCATGTTGTACAATTATATAAGTGGGAATTATTTCTATGATGTGGCAGTTTTGTTCCTTACCACAGAATGGAACTTAGTTCCAACAGAAGAGAATATTTGTAGCTCAAGATTGAACTGTGGAGTCCTTGGTGCAGAGTCTCTGAACTTGGTTGTAAACTTGCAAACATTCAACTACCCAATGAGGCAATGTCATCAGTGCTAGTGACTGTGGAGTAAGTTCCCTGTTTACTCTTAAAAATAATCTGTTGTTATGAAAATTTTGTCTCAAAAAATAGACGGCCAGGTTAGCTTAGTTACTGGGTAGAATAATAAAGCCTTGATATACCTGAGGTGATAAGCTCCGAAGCTTCTAGCAAGCGTAGTCCTGTATGGCAGTCAAAAATAGCTCCCTGGAGAGCTTCCTGATAGGTTAATTGCTTTTTTGTCTTAGGGCACATCAGGCTTTTTATGTAGAATTTATCATCTTGAGTTTTTGTGGCAGTAACGGCATCAATTAGGCCATTCTTGATGGCATCCTCCATTGACAATCTAGAATGAGATTTGGGATCTATCAACCCACCCGTCAAATGCTGATATTCCAAGCAGCGAGTGCCTACTTCTTTGTCTAGAAGGTTTTTATTTATTGCTTCGGTGACTGAGAGAATACTGTTTGATAAAGGGTGCCTAATGCCAGTGAAGACCAATTCACACTGCTGAAGGTGTTTAGCACATGCCTCATCAATTAACTCCCTTTGCAAGGCTTCAGCCAGTGGGTACCTCTTTCCAGTCAAGGGATCAATTATCCCTCCTGTGCAGATTTGAGCCTCCAGACACCTCAGCGCAGTGTTCCTGTCCACCAAGTTTTTGCGAGAAGCTTTTATAATAGATATTCTTTCATTTGTCTCAGGCAGCCAGACCCCGGCAATGGGACTATGGAGGTCAGTATGCGGCTTGGAATTGGTCAACAAAATGTCACCAAGCTCACTAGCTGCAAGATGCCCTTCCTTGTACTTACTGACTGAGAGTCTGTCTATTTTGCCAGCAATTAAGGCCTCATCAATATTGAACTGCAGCCCCGTTTTCAGGTCTGTCAGAACTAAGTAAGAATTTCCACTGGCATCAAAGCATGTGGACTCTTTCCACTGAAATTCCTGTCTAGATAGCTCAAGGTATGTACTTTTGTCTATCAGGGACTTTTTATATGCCTCATAGGAAGTCATTTCCGCACCCGTGTTGATGTCAACCACAGATACCTTATGAATCTTTTCTGCAGATGGAGTGCTTATTTTCCGCTCCCCAACCGGAAGCAGGAAGCATTTGCTAGCTACATCAAGCACACACAATTTCAGCAGGTCGTTATAATACATGGCTTGCCTGTTATTGGGATTCTCGAAGCTTTTTTTGTTACTGGAAGGTTCGTGTAAATATTTCAGCATTGTGTTATTCAGCAAGCCTAGCTCAACTGCAATCTCAGGAGGAATACGGACGCTTCTGACAGGGTCAATAACTCCCCCAGTGGCAATCTGAGCCTCAATAATGTTTTTGCCTTTTTGTCTTTCTAAAATTCTACTTTCCACTGCTTGGTAAACAGACAGCTTTTTCCCAGAAAACGGATAACCTAAAACTGCCTTTTCTGCCTCCAGAAGCCTAGTTTTCCATTCATAATCTACCAGTCCGCTGATGACTGATTCATCCACTGAGAATTTTTTACCAGTTATGGGATCAATGATGAAACCTGTGGCAACCTGGGCTTCTAACAATGCTAGAGCTGATGTTTTATCAATTACTCTTTGTTTAGCTGCAGAAGCAAGTGAGACTTTGTTTTTGCTAGCTTCTATGTACAGCCCAGCTACTGCAGTAGGCTTTGTTAAAAAAATCTCAAGGTCTTTTTGCACCTCAGCGATGGCCTTCTTCCCCATGTGGAGCTGTCCAGCTGTGGTCAAGTCTAGAAGCTTAACTTCAATCAACTGCCTGGCATTTACTTCCTCTCGGAGGCCTTGAAATTTTATCTTATCATATTCAGTAGGAATCTCCTTGGCTCGCTTCTCCTCTAAGGCAGTACTGCTCTTTGAAACATCTTCACTCCTAAACCCTTCTGATGCTCTGTATGCTCCCTCAAGAAGTCTTCCTTCATTACCAAATGTCTTGCCATTTTCTTGATTATATGTAGAAGCTTCAGCATGTACACCATACTGCTTGCTGTTCACTATCTGTAAACAGGAATTTTTTTTAACATTGTAAAGGATATTATATTTAGAGAGCAACATCATATATTACAGTAAGTGGGAGGTAGGAATGCAGAATACAAACAGCAAACAAGCATCGGCTAGTTTGTTAGTGCCGACAACACAGAAGCCGTAAGAGCAGGAAAGCTGAATGGAAACACAGAAAAACAATAGAAAAAGAAAGACTACACTTTGGTGCATACGATTTAAAAATTGCAACTGTGATCACTACTCCAGCTAATAGTAGGCGTCATGATCCAGAATAGTCAGACTGTAGCCAAAACTGCACATTGGTGTGTCCAAGGGAAAGTCATCTTTTACAAAGTTACAAAAAAATCTATTTAAAAAATCTAAAAGGACAAAAATACAAGCTTAGTGAAGGGTGAACGTGCCACACAATAGAAGTGACAAGTGGAAGAGAGGGAAAACATGCAGAGTTGGGGTGGGATTAGTAGGGAATCCTTTAGGAGGAGGGGGCATTTTTGTTGCAAATTTCATCATGTAGATATTGATTTGAATTGTGCATATTTATCTTTACAATAACATAAACATGTTGTTAGCCAGACATGTAGGCGGAAAGTACATCTAAATAAATATGTTTTTTCTACAGATCTGATGCCACCTTTTAAATAAATGGAGAACCTTCAGAAGAAGAAAAGAAAAGTGCTAAAGAATGCTTAAAGGCAGAAAGTACAACGAAGGCCATAAGTATCAAACTGTATGGTGTACCTCCAGTGGATGCAGTTGTTTCCCTAATCCCATTTCATAATTTTCTTCATGTCGTGAACTGAGGAATTTGCCATCTCTCAAATTATCTATTTCTGATAATCTTGTAGCAGGTTTGTTATCAATGCTGATTTCTAATTGTGTACTTGTTTGGGAAACATACTCCGAATATGATTGTTGGTTTACTCCACTTCCCAAAGGGTGAGTGATTCCAGACAGCTGTAATGGCTTTTCTCGTGACAATGAATCAGTGGAAACCATTTGCATTTTCTGAGCTAGTAGCTGTTCAGATTTACAACCTGAGCTGGTTATCTCAGTTTGCCTTCTCCTTAATAAAGGAGAAGTATTTGTACACACTTTACGTTGTTCAAAATCTCTCAGAGAGGCGTCTCCCAAGTAACCGTAGTCAAGTCCTTTCAATCCAAAGTCCAACTGAACATTCTTTTTGTTGATCTCATTCTGAAACAAGCGCAACTGATTGCAGTGCTCTCTTTTCTGCAGATCTATTTGGTGCTTCAGGTGTTCCATTGTTCGTTTCTGCATGTGGAATTCCTCTTCCAGCTTGCGGTACTTCTGCAAATGTTCCATTTCTGCATGTTTCCCTTGTTGTAGCTGATCACGGCATTTTTGGAGTCTGTTCTGCAAATCTTCAATCTGAATCTGATACATTCTGATGTTTTCTTGAGTCATGTGCTTCTCTTGCTGCAAAGTGATGCATTCCATCCTTATGCCTGAAATGTCATTTTCAGCAATGTTGTGCGATTCCAGGAGTTTATCAAATTTCTTCTTAAACTCTTCAGCAGAATGCTTATATTTAATCGACTCTTCCTGGAGCAATGCCATCTTTTTACGTGCCGTTTGCTCATCTAAAGTCTTCTGGTGGAAATCATCTTGCAGCTTCTTTATCTTATTGTTGAGTTCTTGAATATGAGCTTGTTGTTGCTGGATTTTCTGCTCATTCATTTTAATTTCCATAGTAAATGTACTCACCTGACTGTTTAGGTTTCTTAGCTCCATCTCAGTATTCATGTTGTAAGTGATATCCCTGTCACATTTCTGCTTATATTCATTAATTACATCTTTTGCATTGACTAACTCATCTTCTAATCTCTTGATTTTATCCAAGTGCTCTTGCTCAATTATGATCTGTTTGTGCAGCTCTTCATTTGTAACACGGAGCTGCTCCTTGAAGCTATCAACCAAAGCTTTTAATTCGTCATTTTTCCTGTCAATAATCTGTCTCTCCAGAACTATCCTCTCTGATTCAGTGTGCACTTCAGTCATCATAAGTTTGGTTTCACTATTCCACCTAGTAAGCTCCTCCACCTTTTGCTTTAATTTTTCTACCAAGTGATTACTGTCAGCTAAGTCATCTTTCAGTCTTTGAATAGTCAGCTGGCTCTCTTTTTCTTCTCTTGTTTTCTGAAGCAATTGCTCCTGCAGTTTTCTAAATTGCTCCTGCAGATTGCTTGCTTCCCCTTTACATGATATAGTTCTCTGTTCAGCTATCATTTTCTCTTGTTGAAGAGAGGCAATCTGTGAACGCAACTGCTGAGCAATAATTTCAATTTCTGTGTGTGTCCTTGTCAATTCCTCCAGCTCCCTCTTTAACTGTGCCTTTTCCTTCTGAAGCGACCTCAAGTCTTCTTGATAATTCATATTGATTCTTTTAAGTTCCATGGATTCTTGCATTACTTCTTCAGCTTTACCTGTGGCTTTCTGCAGCTGCTTGTCAAGTTCTTTTAGTTGTTCCAAGTAACCTTGCTCAACCAGTTCTTTCTGGTCCAACTCTATTTTAAGGCATCTGAGAGAATGATTGGCTTCATCTAGTTTTTCCTTTAATAAGCGAGCTTTTTCTTCAGAGGATGCATTCTGTAGCTCAAGTTCATGAAGTTCGTATTTTAAATCCTTAATTATTTTTTCAGACTTCTTGTTGGCCATAGTGAGTTCATCTACTATTTGTTGGAATTCCTCTATGTTCTTTATGTCTTGCTTTTCTCTGAAAATGTCTGAGCAAGTTTCTTTTCCTATTATAGTAATTTGCCTTCTGAAGTCAGTTATTTCTTTTTCTCTGAACTTGTTTTTCACTGAACTACCTTGCAGCTCGAGATCACGTTCCATTTCCTTAATTAGTTTCAGAAGCTTCTCTTCTTCGGCTGTTTTTTTCTTCAGCTCTTCCATTAAAGCCTTTTTTTGCTGCTCCAGATCCTGAAGACTTGTGTCTTTCCTTCTTAAATGTTCTTCAAAGGTTTTTCGAATCATGTTGCTTTCTTCTAGTTGAATTCTAAAAGCCCTAAGGTTTTCTTCAACGGCATTTCTTTGAACCTCAGCTTTCAAAGTGAGCTGTTTCACACGTTCTAACTCCTGTTCTGCAGCTTCTTTCTCTTTAAGGGCATCCTCTAACTCCATGGAAATTCGCTTCGCTTCTTGCTCTGCCTTAGCTTTCTGAAGACAAATCTCTTCCATTTTCTTCTGCTGCTTCTTTAATTCCCTTTCTGCATCTTCTTTGGCTTTTGGAAGTTCTTCCTCCAGCTGCAGCTTCTGTCTCCTTATCTCCTCTAGAGCCTTCTCAAGTTCACTTATTCTTGCCATAAGTTTCTTGTTCTCATTCAACACTGCCTTCTGCTGTTCTTCCAGATTAGAAAATTCCCCACGTACAAGGGCCTCCTTGTTTTTCAAGGTCTTAAAAGTAAAAGAAGAAAGAAGAAGATTACCGTTTGTTTTAATATAGCACTGAAATGTGTTGAAATGGTTAAAGCATGGTTGCAAATACTTACACTATTACCTACAGCATATTTCAGCAACACAGATTGCTGCCCACCACCACCACTGTCCCACTCAGAAAGACACCACAAGAGGAAAGAAAAAGCTGCAGTGAGGAGTCCACCAACTGATGTCCTCAAGAAGAATTCTCTGCTCATTCAGGACAAGAGCTGTTCAAGGATTGGAAGTTTCTGCCCCAAAGCAGACTTGCATGTGTCTGCTTGAAAGCTAAAGTGGAATAACTTCTCAGCAATACACATCATGCAAGGGGAAAAAAAGGCATTTCGGCATGTTAGGGTTAGTTGAATATGAAAAGAAATGTTTTAGTGCATAGGACAATTCTAGTTTCAATCTGAAAATACTCTCATAAACTTGATGGCCCAGAAAGCTGACTTAATTAGGGAATAAGCATATCTTCCTAGTATAAGAATCGTCATTTAAACCCATGTAGTAAATTTTTCTCATTTTTCCCCCTATCCAAATGAAAACAGGAGAACCTTATTCTAAAATTGTACTGCATTTTTTTCATACATCTGAGTATTTATATTTGTATCTATATTAAATTTATATTTCTGAAAGATAATTACACATTTTTTTTGGCATGATCTCTGTAGGTTAGTTGCCCATCTCTTAATTTTGATTTCATTTTCCCATCAAAGATTCTACTGATGTTTATTATTTTTATTTATTGCTTCTCTTTATTATTTTCTCGTGCTTTTTTTTTCACTCACAGCCAACAAGAGATTCAAAACCACCCCTACTCTGTCTAAAAAAAATTCTACAACTGTTTTGCTCAATATTACATATGGTGCAATGAATTAAGAAACCTTTACTTGCAATGTGACTTCATCCAGACTCCCCCAGACTAATACCATTTCCAAAGACTAAATAATTTGACCTTATTGCTAGCTGTATTGTCAATATGATGTGCTTCATCTGATATGTTCTCTTTTGGGAGTCACTTTCAAGCCACACATTTTAAAATGGAAAATGGCTGCTGCTATTTATTTCCGCAACTTCCAACCTTATAAATGAAATTATTTCCTATGCCAAATTATCCCCAAAAAGTGACAATGATATTTAAAATAGCAGTTTACTGACTGTCTAGGACAAATAAATATGAAGTATGCTAAAAAGTTTAGTGGATAATTCCTGTATATTCTTCTCACGATGACAATAAATAGTGTAACAGAATAAAAGAACTCTGATGAATTGGGCCAATCAGTTGTTTACAGAACAGTATTTGTTTTTCTGGAAGGTGATTAAGCAAACTCTTAAGTCAAACTAGACATTCTGACTTGTTAATGAAAGATTAGGTTTCTCACTACCTGACAGAACAATATGCGAAAAAGACAAATCATTAATTTCTTAACAATGCAATAAAATTTACTTTTTAACATAACTTTACATAAAGGAGCTAATTTTATGAATTGCTCTGTACTTGGAAGATTTCTATGAAGACCCAACACCACAGAAAAGTGTTTTAGCAACTTATAGGTGAAAAGTAATCTTTAAATTAGGAAGTTTTAAAATCAGAATTATTAGAGAGCCAGTATGGCATACAAAGGCATATAATATGCATTTATTACACCAGTTTCACTACTACTGCCTATAAACAACATAAAGCTAATAAAGAAATTCTGATATAGACATTTTCACCTAAAGACGTAACTGCAAGTTTATTGTTCTACTTGTTTCTTTGATAATATCTATTGACTTACCTCTTCCTCCTCTAACCTTTTCAAAGAGTCACCAGCAAACTTTATATACTGAGTCATCAAGGTTACCAAGGCTGTGTAGCGTGTTCGTAAATCCATAAACTAAAATGAAACAGAGGAATAGCTGAAAAATATGACAAATAAAGAATGTAACTTCCATCATGATTTCTGAGAGAAAGGGAAGGTGTTTTGTGATAAAGCTGGAGAAATGTACTACATCTGTCAATCATAAGAAAACAGGCTTCAGGAGCCAATGTAACAAAGCTGTGGAATATAATTGCCTCCTATCTGTCTTGGGTGGCCTCAAGTAAATACTACAGATGATCTCAGAAATGAAAGATAAGGAATCATTGCATGATGACGATTAGCCTTGGTGGCACTTGGTGGTTAAAATGCAGTATTGAAAGTAACTGCCTGTAGCCTGGAGTTTGATCCTGATGGGCTGAAGGCCGATTCAGCTTTCAATTCTTTGGAGGTCAGTAAAATGAAGACCCAGATTGTTGGGGGCAATATGCAAGTAATGCTGATGTTGTAAAGTGCTTAGAGAATGCTGTGGGGTGGTATATAAGCCTAAACACTACTGCTATCATGGAATTTATTTCTTAATTCTTAAATCCTCATACTTTAAATCCTCATACTATTAGCTTTAGATATGCAATACAGCTTAGTAGCATTATCATTCAGTTCAGTGGAAAAGGAGATTTAAGATCTCAAAGGCATAACAGGCATTATTTGCATTAACTCATTTCTATATACCACCAATACATGGGATATCTCAAATAATGTTCCTGGTATTCATTTTCTAGGCTCTTCTAGACACTGCAAAAGAGGCTGTGCTGCAGGTACTCTATATTTAGTCATCTACTAAAGCACAGGACAGACTTCTTTTTAAAATCTGCATTGGCAAAACTCATATCATTACCACTGTGGATAAAGTTGAAAGAGGGACTATTTATATCCACCTTCTGTAGTTAACCACTGCATGTTTTACTGTTTTCTGGCCTTGTAATAAATGGATCTGTCCTGATGTGCTTAAGAACTGTATCTGGATTGCAGATATCAGAAGGGGCAAGTCAGCTTTCAGAAACTGGGGTGCTGAGTTAAGCCTCAAACGAGCTCTGGCCTTCTGGAGTTCATGCAACACACTTCCCCTCAACGTGAGTTAATTGTATGTCACAGAAACAACATAGTTAACTATTATTACAAAAATAAAACTATGACATACAGCAAAAGAAAGAACTATGCAAGTTAGACCCATCTCTTATTTCAGAACCAGTTTGGTGTAGTGGCAAAGATGCTAGACTAGAAACCAGGAGACTCTGAATCCTAGGCCTTCCATAGGCATGGAAGCTGGCTGGGTGGCCTTGGACCAATAATTCTTTCTCAGCCTGACCACTTCACTAGGTTATGGTTGTAGAGAAAACAGGAAGTGGGAAGTGACTTAAATTGAACAAAATAAAGATGCGGTATAAATTTTGATGAACTGTGTTCTTAATCATTTTGATGTCCTGACTCCAAGTTTCCTTACGGCTTAAATGTTAATGAATGACAAAATGATGAGCAGGAAGTGGCTATCTGCAATCTCATGTTGAAAAAAAACCCTGATCTTCCCTATATGTCAAAGACCTCACTGAGGGACAACGTCAGATGAACATCTTCAAAACATGCCCTGACGTTCGGCTGCTATGATAACTTCCTTCATCTGGCTTCCGTTTATGTTCTAATTAACTGGATACCACTTTTGTGTAACTTGGATGACGGCTCTCCTTTTTCCAATCTCTGTCATTTAGTGTTTTGTAATGTGAATTGCCCTGTGAAGGCTTGGTCTGAAAATAAATAAATAGCACATAAGTAACTGCTTAAACAAACAACTTACCTCTTGTATAATGAAGTCGGAAGAACTCTGCATCCTTCTACGTTTTACAGGTGATTTTTGCTGGGAATCAACCATGGCTCTGTATGTCATTGTTTGCAACTCATAATCCTACCAAAAAAAGAGAGGAGGTGGGTAGGGTATCCTATGTTCCATACTAAGGATTCTTCTAAGTGTATAAACACAGTTCATAACAAAAGACCGAGTATAGTAAAACCTGAACGTAGCAAGGGCTGAGCAGCCAGAGTTGAGGAAAAGCAGCTACTGTCACATCATTGCATATTGCTTTGGTAATATAAAAAAACACATTGACTTAGGATGAAGATGTCATCCTTGCAACACCAATGAAGATCCATATGCAGTGGGGATAGCAGTAATAACAGGAGAAAGTAGCCTCAAATTTCCAGGCAACAACTATGGCAAAAAGACAACCGAGACAGTTTAATGCATGTAGTTCCTGACTTATGCTACGATTGGGACTAGAATTTCCTTTGCTAAGTAAGATATAGTTGTTAAAAGTGAGTTGCATCTGGTTTTACAACTTTTGCCACTTTTGTTAAGAAAACCACTGCAGTTATTCAGTGAATCACATGGTGTTAAGTGTATCTGGCTTCTCCCACTGATTTTTGCTTGCCGGAAACTGGCTGGGAAAGTTGCCAATGGCAATCATATAACCCCAGGATGCAGCAATAAATACATGCTAGATGCTAAGCACCCGAATTTTGATCAAGTGATTTTTGGGGGTGTTGTGACGGTTATAAGTCACTTTTTTCAGTGACATAATTTCAAACAGTTGTTAAACAAATGGTTGCAAGTCAAGAACTACCTGTACACACAATTATTTTCACTTTGGTAAGTAAACACATACAAATACACCCCAAGGCAGTGTTCTAGGACCAACTCTCTTCATATTCTACATAAATGATCTCTGTGATCATATTAAGAGCAACTGCGTTCTCTTTGCTGATGATGTAAAGCTATTCAACACCACAGAAAATACTGCTATCCTTCAAAAAAAAAAAAGACTATGTATCAGAATGGTCAATCAAATTACAACTTCAAATCTCAACAAATAAATACTCTGTCTTACATATTGGCAAAAAAAAATAAATTACAAAATAAAATACAAGCTGAATAGTCAAGACCTTGTTGAGGACCTTGGAGTACTCGTCTCTAATGATCTAAGTGCTAGAGCCCACTGTAACTACATAGCCAAAAAGGCATTAAGAGTTGTTAACCTAATCCTACGTAGCTTTTTCTCTGGTAATATCACACTAATAACTAGAGCATACAAAATATTTGCTAGACTTGAATACAGCTCATCAGTCTGAAACCCATATCATGCATCTGATATTAACACAGTTGAGAAAGTCCAGAAATATTTCACAAGAAGAGTTCTCCACTCCTCTACTCGTTGCAGAATACCTTATGCCACCAGACTTGAAATTCTAGACCTAGAAAACCTAGAACTATGCCACCTTTGGTCCGATCTAAGTATAGTATATAAAATCATACATTGCAATGTCCTACCTGTCAATGAATACTTCAGCTTCAACTATAACAACACAAGAGCAAACAATAGATACAAACTCAAGGTTAACTGCACCAAACTTGATTGCAGGAAATACGACTTCAGCAACAGAGTGGTCAATGTTTGGAACTGTGGTTTCTTCCCCAAGCTCCAAAAACTTTAACCTTAGACTGTCTACTATTGACCTCACCCCTTTCCTAAGAGGCCTACAGGGGACATGCCTACCATCCCTGTCCTATTGTTTATTTTTGTTTTTATTATACATATCCATCTCATGTATTCATAACTATGTTTATACTTATACCTGTTATCTTGTAAGTGATTGACAAATCAAATAAATAAATAAAATAAAATAAATTTCAGGTTTACCTTCACTGCAGTTGAATACTGCTCTGAGTATTTCTGGCATTCATCTAGCTTGTTTTGTTTCATCTCTATTTCAGACACCAGCATCTGTAAAATCAGTAGTGGCACTCAATATACAACAATGCTTTACAAAAAATACTTCAATGTTCTAACCTCATCTTCCTAAAGAATTTAAGTAAACCAATAGAGAAAAACACTATGTTGCTTAGATCTACTGAATCTATTTCTTTCATCCGTTAAGAATTACATATGCTTTCCAACTATCTCAAATTATATGCTAGCAGTACAATACAGCATTTAAAATGAGACTGTTTTAAATGGTTGAAACGAACATTGCTATTTAGCTTAACTGGACTTTGAAAATGTGGGATAAGAAGAGTATTGAGGCCTTTGCTCTTTGGTTTTGGAGAAGACTCCTAAAACTGCCATGGACAGTCAAGAAAACAAAACAGGAGATCTTCAATCAAACCAACCCAGAGTTCTTACTTGAGGCACAAATGACCAGAATCAAATTATGCAGGAGACCTAGCAATCTGGAAAAGCTCTAAGGCTGGGAAAGATGGAAAGAGAAGAGGAGGCATTCAGTTACAGTGAGGATAACAATGAATTCACTATGGGAAGACCTAAAAGACCAGGTTAGGAACAAATCTATGGGGTTGCTAGGAGTAAAAAGAGTAATTCAAAGGTGCAATGAAGCTGAATCATTAATTCAGTTGATTTAAGCGATATTATAGAACTTTTCATGATTGTACCTTCTGCTCATTTAGCTGTTGTGCCAGAGCTTTACTGTTCTTGGGTGGGTTTTCCTGAAATTTTTGCTGTGTTTCTTCAACTTGCTTAATCCAATTATCCAGTGCACCATAAGTATCTCTGTAGTACTTTAGAGATTTATTGATAGTCTCCAAGTCACGTAACCTATAGTTGACACAAGAGCCATTCAGAAATGAACAAATGGTTATTTTAATGCAGTAACTGCTTTTTATAAAGATGTAGCAATACTTGGCACATATTCTCCAGTTGTACAACACCTTAAGATAAATCATATTATTTTCTTCATGTAATAGATTGTTATTAACACAGGGCTGAAGCTGAGAATCTGTGCTTGCAGGAGTTCACTAGCAAATTCATGGCAAAAAAAAGATGCTGGTCAATTATCTTTCATTAAGTATTTTTCTCAGGATTAATATAGAAGAACTGCAAAACTAGTAAAACAAAATTTTGACATTTCAGTGAAAGCTTAGCTTCTCCAAGTGAGCTAACATTATCAAGAAATTATCTTTTCTCTGAGATATATACTAAAGAACAGGACTTCTTTCCATAAAGACTAAAATCAATATAGTGGTCCTTATTCTGTTTTTTGGGGGGTGGGGTGGGGTGGGTGGGCACGAGGCCTGCTTGTCCCTTGTTTGAAATGCCAGGCAGTAAACAACTTCAGATATAAACAGGTATGATCAAAGACACTTTAAAATTATCCTGCAGTTCTGAACCACTACCACTACCACTAGAGTGTGGAAACCAGAAATAAACAGTCAATATTTCTTCACGAGTTCCCTTAAATTCAGGTTCATTGTAGAAAACACTATTCTGTCAATTATATCATATTGGATTGCAAAAGAGTACATGCAAGTTTTATATACCTGTTTTCGAGGCAAAGATATAAAAAACACTGACTAAGGAAGAGTAGGCAATAATTAAATGTTATGCTAAATGCAACTGAATTAAAATTATAGGAATAATTCGTGGGGCTGTGCAGTGCTTTAGATTCAAAAGAGAAACTGATGCTACAGTGGGAGCAGGGACACTCATATAGCATCCATCTCCAACTCATCAGAGAAGCTGCATCTTTTCCCAGGATCATATGGCTGACCAGAAAAATAGATGTTTCATATAGGTACTACACTCATAAAAATTGCAGAAGCATTCATTACTGGGAAAAGCCACAAAACCACTATTGCTTGCAGTGATTTCCATTTCAGGGCCTCCAGACGGACTAATTCAGTCTAACTGTTTATTTTAGAATACAATTCATTTTGAAACCAACATTTCAAATGTAAAAGCCTACCAATTACTTTTAATTAATGTCTACAAACTTTTATGCTCTAAAAAACTGTAATAAATAAATTTCCTTACTCCCCATTTCTTACCCATTCATGAACGGAAGCTCAGCATTATTCTAGTAAATGGCAGGCCCGACTGCTTTGAGCCCAAATTTGACCTAATATCACCGTAGGAAAAAAAAGGGCAACGATGAATTCTCTCCCTAACAGGTAATTTTCCTGGAGACCACAATTCCCTGACACTTTTCTACTCAAAGCAGTTGTTGAGAAAAGTGGCCTGGGAGGAAAGTGATATGAGGAAAAGAGCAAGCACAGGGCTACTTCAGCTTTTACCGATAAGACAGATCTACTGCCATTCTGCACACTATTTAGAACTGACTATTTTGTCATATTCTTTCCAGTATTATTTCTCTCACTGTCAAAGTGATGTCTTCCAAATTAATGGCAGCTAAATGTAGTCAGTCTCATCATTACACACCTTGACAGTACAGTATCATGCAATGAGATTATTTTATACATCCTTGATGACTTTAGTCTTGTCAACACAGTTTTTAAAAAGATAATACCAACCTGTTTTCAATCTGAGAATGCACATTTTGCCATCTCTCAGTTAACTGGTCTGCTTTCTCTTTGTGCCAGTCAAAGTCAAGATCACGCTCCTTGTGTGTTTTAAACATCTGATCGCTAATTGCTTTTGCTTTCTGGAGTTCATCTTCTAAAGCATGGAATACTTCTCTTTTTTCATCAACTTCAGATCTCCATTGCTAATGAATAAAATATGTGATGATAAACAGACAACATTATTCCTAGTGGCATCTTCCCAAATGCCAAATTCAGGCTCCAAACCCAACCCTCCCCAGATGTATCTGATTGCAATTATTATTTTCAAACAACATGGTCAATCAATATGCCAGATAAGGACAATGAGAACTATAACTCACATATTTATGGGTTAATAGATAAGAGAGGACTACTACATTATAATCACGGGGATATATCTTAGTATGTCAAACAAACATACTCACTTTATTAAATATATGTGATGTTACAATATTTACAGTATTCTTATCATGTAGCATGGAGTTACAATTAAGTATTCCACAGTTTATTCCACATGAAGCTAATATTTTTCAATGTTCCCAAGCAGGAGGGAAAAATGAGAGGAAGGAAACAGTCTAAGTTACAACTTCATTGTTCCTGGAGAAATGTCTTTATTATGGATATAAGGCAAGAAAAGGGGAATAGTTTTTTTACCAGATTACTTCAACTATTTTTGTCTTTAAGGCCAGAGAGTAGAAGAAAAGCTTCAATATTTGAAATTGGCAGATTTGGACTGTCCTTTATGAACAGTCAGTGTTAATATGTAGCTCAGCTTCTAGTAAAGGGGTACAATGGAATGACATCCACAATCATTTGAAAGGACTATATTTCATCAGCCATCTATCCATGATCCCAATTCTACTTTCACATTTGGAAGTATTCACTCTCTGAAAAGTCACTCATTATGTAGCTTTTAACATGTTTTATCTTAATACGAATACCGATACCAAATTAATACCCATGTTCATACCTTCAGGGTACCCATCAGGTTCTCTATATTGCTCTTGTCAGCAGTTAATGGGTCTTCTTCACAAAGTTTAGTTTCGTACTGTTTTACTAGAGCTTCAGCCCCTTGAGTGTTTTTGAGCACCAAATTGACAGTTTTTAACCTGAAACAAACAAAATGTGTGCTATTCACAACCTCAAAAAATAACAATAAAGTTTTCAAAATGTTTTAATACGGTAACTGAATTCAATTATTTAATTCTATCCTTTCAAAAGAAGAAATCTGCCTTTCAATATTAACATTTTCATACAGCTATGTTCACAGCTAATAAATATTGCTACAATAAAGATGGTTGTGTATGCAACAAAAGGCCTTTCTTACTTTTCTATGTAAATGGAAGACATGGAATACACCTGATTCATGTTCTGAATTACAAGATTAAGTTCAGACCGCAGAGTTGGGACCGAAGGGGAACCAGCAGCTTGGCTGAAGAAATCATTGCATTTATCTGTGATTGTTTCCAAATCATCTTTGAGCCGATCCAGCTCCTTTTTGAGCTTCTACAGGAAAAAAAAAAGGGTGAGGCTTATTTCATCTATAATAAAGGGTTTTTTCACAAATCATATTCTTAAACTAAGGGAAGGGCATAAGTTGAAGTTCCTAAGAACCATAAGCCACCACTACAATAGCATATTGCTAGACTTGGAGGACTGATTAACACCTATCTCCCTGCCAGCTTATTCCTTCCTTGTTTGTATCAAGGCTAATGAGTTGGTTGGTTAAGGTGCCCATCATATTTCTTTTTTGTAAGTATTTGTAAATGAAAGCACAACAGCATATTGCATTTTTATGCTAATGTGGCTGAAAGCCTACATCTTTTTTTCCTCCCTATTTAGAAACCTATCTCCAACTCAACATTAATTTCCAATGTAATGGTTTAGGCCATAGGTGTCTAACCTTTTGGCTTGCTTAGGCTGCACTGAGTGAAGTGGAATAATCTTCGGCCACTAGAGTTAACGTACATAAATAACAAACTTCCGTTATTATTATTATTTACAATCTTGTGGGGCCACATTATAAGCTGTCCTGGGCCATATGTAGCCTGTGGACCACAAGTTGGACACACCCAGTTTAGGCCCTTGGGGTTCCCCCTCCCCCAAAAAGGGGGGGTTATGTGAACAATTTGGCATGAAACATTAGGCAACAACTATAACATTTCCAAATCCATACAAAAAAGAAGATAGAGAACTGTTTTTAGTTTTATTTCAGTTGTATTTCAAGAAATGTCACATGGAAAGTATGTCCTAACTAAACACGTTTCATATTGATCAAATCGTCATTATCTAAGTTTGCCCACTATGCTAAATTGCAAGCTGCAGAATGATAAAACCAATTATGTTCACACATTATAAGCCAAACCTTATAGAGCTACCTCAGTTTTTGCACCATAATTTGTGTTTGTCTGAATGATCTTCATCTGATGAAGTCAAATGGGGCCAAATGAAACTTTCAGAGAATTCACAAAGCAAGGAGGCCAGTGGTGGGATTCAAATTTTTTTTACTACCGGTTCTGTGGGTATGGCATGGCTTGGTGGGTGTGGCTTGGTATGTGTGTTAGGGGAAGGATACTGTAAAATCTCCACTCCCTCCCCACTCCTAGGGCAAGGTTACCACCAGTTCTCCAAACTACTCAAAATTTCCGCTACTGGTTCTCCAGAACTGGTCAAAACCTGCTGAATACCCACCTCTGAAGGAGGCCCAGTTTCGTTTCTTTACTTAAGAGTAATGATAAGGGTGGAAGGAAATAATAACAATCTGGATTGGAACTGCACCTGATTAGGAAGGGAAAGATCTAACAGGACCACTAAACAGTTCCTTGGAATACAGGTAGTCCTTGACTTACGACCACAATTGAGCCCAAAATTTCTGTTGTCAAGTGAGACATTTGTTATGTGAGTTTTGCCACATTTTACGACCTTCCTTGCCTCAGTAGTTAAGCGAATCATTGCAGTTGATAAATTAGTAACCCGGTTGTTAAGTGAATTTGGCTTCCCACATTGATTTTTCTTGTCAGGAGGTCGCAAAAGGTGATCAGATGACCTTGGGACACAGTAACGGTCATAAGTATCAAGCAGTAGCCAAGTATCTTAATTTTGATCACATGATCATGGAGATGCTGGAAAGGTCACAACTGTTAAAAATAGCCATAAGTCACTTTTTTCAGTGCCATTGTAACTTTGGTCACTAAACGAACAGTTATAAGTTGAGGATTACCTGTATTTCATATGAATTTTGATGCTGCAGAGAAGAATTCTATTTATTCTCCCAGAAGACTCTGATTCCAATCTGTAACAATTTGCACTTATTCCGCGTATTTAAAAAAAACCCACCCTCAACAGATGTAGCTTTATCCAATTAATTTAATGCAGTAAGTCATTTGAACGTGTTTATGATATTCAAAAAGATAAGTTTTCATCAGCAAATTGAGAAGAGTTACCTCTTGTTCAGAGATACGGAACACACTTTCAGGGAGGTCATCCCTCTCCAGAGGAGTTCGAATTTGTCTAATCAAACGATCTTCACAATTCTCCAATCGAAGTCTGATGTTTCGAACTTCTGAGATGTATAAATTGTAAACAGATTCTTCGCGCTCCTCTGTTGAAACCAACGCGCACAGATGAATTAAGCCAACTGATTTTATTTCTTTCATCTGCTACCATGTGATATTCTACAGCTAAAGTTTCAAAGTTTAGAAATGTAACTCTCCTTGAAATCCAAAATTAATGTGCAACCAACTGTTCTGGATAGCGATAATGAGAAATACTGGATGTGATAATAAGGTGGTGTGAAAAGGAAGGAATGGTGTTATGAATTTCTTGTTTCTAACCTTTTCTACCACCTTTAAAATATCTTTTCTATTTGACAGAAATAAAGTCATCTTGAATTTCGGGTATCGCAAATTTCCCAGGGATATTAACATTACAGAAGCAGGTTGCTTAAGAATTAATCTTTATGTGTAAATAATGTAACTTCTCTTAAATGTTCTTATTCTTAGGTTTTTTTTATGTATCCAAGCAATAATCCAAAAATGGATCTTAGGAGCAGCATCCTGCTTTTGCATGCATATATCAGATGTGCAACCTATTACAACTAGCTGACTCATGTGTATAATTGATCACATGACAAGGAAACCTGGAAAGAAAAGATACAGAAGACAGCAGTCTGTCTTTTCTGTTACTGGAAACAAAAATCTTTAGCTTTGCACTAGTGCTGCTATGATCCAATTAAAACAGTGTAGTTGACAAGAACAAAGCTGAAAATATCACACCTAAAGCAATACATCACATCAAGGGCTTTATAACAGTCTCCTTTCTGAGATGATTAATATACTTACCTCTCTCAGCAGACTTAAGTAGCTCTTGGTAGTACTGCTTACATACATTTACTTCCCTTTCCAACTGGGCAATGTCAGCAACAGAGAAAATTTTGGATTCCTGGCTGTCTTCCAAGAAGTCATCAAAGCGAGACTGCAAGTTGCTTAAAACCTGCTGATGTTCACCTGGCAAGAGCGTTTTGATCTAGAAAATGTTTTAAAATTGGAGTAAAATTTAAAATCTTTCCAACGATCAGCAACATTCCTTCCCTTTCCATGATATAAACATAAAGCACAGACTGCTCTTAAAGCCCTTAACCCATCAGTTACTGAAATTTTGACTCAATAAAAGCCCAGGAAATATCAAGCCCCAGGGAAATCAGAAGATCTAGGCAGTTCAAATGGGTATAAAGATTTATTGCAGGCTTAAGCTCTCTACAAGAATCCAAACTACTAACAGCCAAAGCAAATTGTAGAGAAGAGTCAATGAAAGTCAAGGTGGGCTGGACTTAGTTCCCTTGTGGGTGCGAACAGACTCAAGACTGATGATGTGCTTGACCCCTCCCTTGGGCTGAGCCTGGTCATCTCCTACAGGGAGGTGCCTCTCAGGAATACAATGCCTACAGTATATACATACAGTGTATATAAAGACAAACATCCATGGAACCACATCTACTGGATATTGTCCCAGGTCAGAATTGTTTTAGCAGTTTTATAGAAAATTCCAATATAATATTGGTACATCTTTAGCATCGTGTCTGCTATATAAAATATGATGTTCTTCTCAAACTTTACCTATCATTGTAAGTGGTAAAATGTAAATTCTTCATTTTAAGGCCATATTGCTGAAATACTGAATGCTGGGGTGGAGAGTGGGGAAATAACTAGGTGTCAAAGAGTTGGAATACATGAAAAACTTACTGAGGCCACATTACTTGCTCGAACAGTTTCAATTTCAGTTGTTAAATAGTGCCAAGAAACTACACTCTTCAGATTTATATGTGACTCATGCCAAAGAGCTAGGACATTCTGATACTGCTGCTCAATTCTGAAATGCATAAAACATAAGGGGGTTAAGTAAGCAATATCACAAGAGAGTCTTAAGAATATACTGGTAATAAATTCCCTAGAATGCATGCATTTTTCAGAACGATTTCAAAAAGCAAGTGACATTAATATGGGTTCGGTGTGTGTACATTCTGCCAAATTCCTACCTATTTGCAGTGTCTATGGCTTCTTTGTTGGGAGGTGGGATGGTAAAACAAACAGAGGGAACCATGGCCTCATTGCCACTTGGGCTGATCACTTTCCATTTTGCTCGATGAGAGTTGCTTGCCAGGACACATTCGTCATCCTTGTAAATAGTTATCTAGTTGTGAACAGAAAAACAGAAGAACTGAATGAGCCTTTCTCAAAGCACCTCTGATGCAACAAAAAGAACAAAGTAAAACTGATTCAGCCCCCAACTGTGGCAATAAGCTCTGTGGGGTATGGAGGAGACTTCCAGGAGTTTGTTATCAATACCCAGCCCAGGATCTTCTTCTCCCCATAACTGATTCGAAGATGGTAAAAGCTTCCAACCTCAATCTGTCGATAGTCACAGATGGCCTTAACTGGGATGGACGTTTTGAGGGAATTTTCAGGATTCCTCGGCTTTAGCTGAACTATTGTCTTTGCTCTGCCCACAAGGCCTGCCACGGTGCTCTTGTACTGTAGGAGCTGTTCTTTTTCTTCCTAGATGCCAATTTAAAGAGCAAATGTTAAACATTAAGCATTCTTTTCTTGGAAGTGTTTTAAGTTTTCTTGGTTTCTTTTCCAAGATGTAATTCAAATGAGGCACAAGAGACACCCTGGCAAAAAGCGCAATAACTTAGAAAGTATTAAACATGCTTGAAGAGTAGAATCAGCTAACATATTGACATTCCTACCATAGACTCCTGGATCAGATCTTCTAGTTTATGAATGCTGCTGGATCTATCGCAATTGTATTTTCGATGTACAGCATCTCGTAAATTCTTCAAGTAATCTAGAGCCTCTTTGGCATCACTGAAAAACTAGAATGAAACGAAGTTTTCATTTAATAAGGCACTATTGAAAATATGTTTATTATACAGAGAGAAGGGGGAGAGAGAGAGAGGGAGAAAGGGAGAGAGAGAAGTTTTGCAAGTCTCGTCACTCCCACTTTCAGTTTGAAATAAAATTATAAAACCAGAGAAATACCTGAATTGTGAAAAAAAGAGGTTGGGAAAGAATCAAACTTTAAATGTCTTTAGGACAGCAAACAAAGAGATTAAAACAGTAATGGTTACTGACTATTTTCCACAAGATTTATGTACAACATACTGGACCAATAGAATCACTACTGGAATAACATAAAAATTGTGTCTTTGAAACATCTGAATTAGATGGGTAAAAACTGTATCTTTATCATAAAAACATTCCTCTACGTTGCTTAGCTGAGAACCACATTAGAATTTCCTTCTTGAGGTTATAGCTACAGCTGAAATCTGCAATCATGCCACAGCATCTTCAATTTAATCCATACCTCAAAATATGCAGTGTTTTCTCTTAAATGCTGTTCAACACATTGGCAGAGCTGCAAAATCCAGCTCCACTGGGTTTGCATTGCAGCTCGGTAGGCCTGAAGGATACAGAAAGAGATAAAAAAAAACATATGTGTCTCTGCAACCCCAGCCCTAATTCTCTCTAATGAGAGAAAGAATACGAGGAATTGATTTTTCCCTCCCCCGTTCCCAATGCCTTTGTCTCAGCAGTATGCTGTTGAACAAAAGCATCCACCTTCTAAAATATAAGCTGCTCTACAAAAATGAATAACATTTTCTGGAAAGTTAGGTTGACTGCCATTTAGAACCCAAACACCTTGGCTACAATTTATATTATTGGACAATGGCTGCCTGTCTAATTGGCTAACATTACTGACCCTTAACAAAGAAGCAAAAAAGCTCGCTATAGAATCCAGTAGAGTGAATTGTTTCATAACAAGGACAGATCATAGAGCAAATCTACTTCTATATATACTTCTTTTTAAGTATTGTTGCAGAATATCCATTTTGACAGAGATGCACAATCAATTAACCTATGGTCAGTTCTGAAACCGAGAGGTGTCCATATTAGCTAGCTAAAGTCTTTAGTTGTAAGTGGTATATACAGTAGTGTTTTTCAACCTTAGTCAGTTTAAGTTGAGTGGATTTCAACTCCCATGGCTGGCTGAAGAATTCTGGGAGCTGAAATCCACGCTTCTTAAAGTTGCCAAGTACAGTATGTATCTTAATTCTAGTCCAAAATAAATATAATGTCCAAGTAAGATCTGTAATAATAAATAATTGTGATGCATAACGACAATGAAACATTTACAGGGAGAAGTTCCTTGCTACATATGAACAAGGAAAATACTGCCCCCTTCTAGGTGTACTAGATTCACTCCTACTCAAAACATTAGATGGTGCTATGGTATTGGAATTCTCCTTGGGGAAAAAACAGTGCTCTGCATTCCTTTTTAAATAACTCAAAACCATCACCAGTGAAACGCAGCCAGTGAGAGCAAGAAATAGAACAGAATACAATAGAATATTCAGGGAGAAATCACAATGGGTTAGGTGGAACCCTAAACAGGAGTGCCATGTTTTGTAATCTTGTTTCTTTCATTTTAGGACAGTAGCAAGGTGTCATGCTGCACCTTAAAGTCTAATAAATAATGCACTGAGTCATAACCTTTCACACTCAACTATACACTGCAAGAAAAATTTATGTGCAGCAATAACACAAAATGGAAAAGCAGAACCCAGACATAAATATTTATCTGCAGTTCTAATGTGTACAAGATGAAACCAGTGATGCCTGTTATTGAGTTCTGTTGGAAACAGAAGCACAGTAGAAGACTAAACAGGTAAGAATATCACAAGATTGTGTATCAACTTTCTAAGGTTTTCAACAAAAGCCAGGGGAGGGTGTGTGTGTTGGGAGTTGGTGTTAGAATAAACACCACAAACATACAGCCAATTGGGGAAGGTTGCAATTCTTCAGCAAGTTATTTGAAAGTGTTGCTTTAAATTTGGAATCCTATAAAAAGTGCTTCTAAAGCCAAATTTAATAACCTACCTCAATAGTTAATCTTGCAGGGTGGTTTTCAAAGAGCAATTGTTCTGCTATTTCCTGTACTGATTTAATAACTTCTTCTTTCTGGTCAAGTTCTCTCATCAGATCCTTTCAAATTAAAAAAAAGGGAAAAACCTTTTGAAACCTGAAGCAAGTAGAAAATATGTTCAGTTTTATTTTTAAGACATTACTAAATCTTACGGCATGATATTCCTTTTTCCTTGCTATATTTGTGTTTCTTTCGCTCCAGTCATGTGCAACTTCCGCCTCCTCCTTTTCATTCAACCATATAAGTTCCCGAGTAGCACGTGATACAAAATTGTGAAGGGTGTCGAGGTGTCTTTCTTGATTCCTGGACGCATTCTTGGAAAGACAAAAAGAAAAAAACAAAGCTTAATTTTGCTTACATTATCAAGGAACATCCCACTGAGACCTGGACTTCTTGACAATGATCTTACCAAGAGTTTTGCATATTGGCTCTCCAGTTTGTGCAATTTTTCTGCATAGCTGAGTTTGAGGGGAGCAGTCATTTGGATCTGCATAGAACAAACTGGATTAGAGATTTTTTTTAAAAAGAAGAGCTCTAGACAGACAACAGTTAACAGAAGGATTACACATTTCTTTTTATTCATTTAATTAATATAACAAAGTGATCCTTCTTTAAGCCAAGTGCAGTTATACAAGAAGTTAAAATGCATGTTTTAAAATAGGTAGAGTCACAAGGTGTTTTTATGCTGTACCTCACTGATTTTTGCTTCTTTAAGACTTGACTCAAATTCTTCAATAGCTTTGTGAACATTCTTGTGATTTTCAACATGGCTTTCAACCCCTGGCAAATCTGAGCCCCATTCGGCTCGGTCAAGTTGTACCTGGCAAAGGGAAGTTTAAAAAATTAAACTCGATCCATTGTACAAATAAGAAAAAAACCATCAAGGGCAAATGAAGACCATACATATCAAGATGTTACCTGCATTTCATCTACCCATCTTAAGAGGTCCTGTACAAATTTCATATTGACTTCTTCTTCTGTTAAATTCTGATCAATAAAAGCTGATTTCATCAGAGGTTTGCGAATCTGTGTCAACTTGAGTGTTTGAAGTCCACCCGTGTCAACTCCAGTTATGTAACTTTGAATTAACCGTGGTGGGAAGCCTGGAGTGTATGCTGGGGTGATGGCTGGGGTCAGTCTTGGAGAAAAACCTGATGACAAACCTGACGTCAGACTGGATGAGGTCAAGGAGGGAGACAAGCCCTGATTTAGTCCAGCGTTTAAATTAGGGCTTAGGCTTGGTGCAAACCCTGAGTTTAAGCTTTGTGTTATTCCTGATATCATCATCTTGGTCTGTTCCGTTGTTAGTATTCTCCCCTTGTTGTAGATTGAGGAACACTCTGCTTTTAAGGCCATAAGGTTATCTCGGAGTTTTGCAACCCTACATTAAAACAAAGAAAAGCATTCACCATAGAAATTGACTGGCTACTACCTCAGAATTTTCATGAAGAACAATAATAGAAATCAGAATTAAATAATTAAGTTAACTATCATAATAAAGGAGTCAGATCAATTTGTTCCAATAAATCCTTTTATAATCTGCACAAAGTTGGTGCTTTCATGCTATAATGGTACTAAAGGTCATAAAATGTCTAGCTGTATGTCTTTGGATGTAAAACATAATCATATAACAAGACTAATAAGCCCCTATAATCAGTTTTGTTTCAAAAGCGATTCCTGAATATGCTCTTTTCACATGAAAAGGAAGCTTGTTTAAGATACATTTGTGTATCTTGAGAAGGAAGAGCAAAAGTGACTGTAAGAACAGGAATCAAACCATTTAGCTACTAATGGGAAAAATGCATACAGCATCAAAAAGGTTCTTCTACATACTGGTAGCAATATTAGTTCACATTTGATAGTAAAAGTTAACTTGTTGTATGTGAACCACATACGGTCCCTGGAAGACTGTGCTCTCACTAACATGAGGTGTCAGTTTGGTAGGCTGTAGGAAATGGCTTTTACTCAGAAAAAAAAAAAGAAGAAATGGGAGGTTTTCTTTTCATCCAGCAAAAGGACTGAGAACAGGAGTGTTCCTGCTGGTACTGGAGTTACCTAGGACCTGGTGAAGATTTTACAGCTGAAAAGTTGTCCAATCCTGATTTACAGAAGCACTCATTTATATATGTTTATATTACTGACAGCATCTCATAAAAGTAGCGGAAGATATTGCTAGACACTTGCTGAATATGTGATATCCATACTTCTTGCCATACGATAGAATTGTCTTATCCTGGGCTACAGGGCAGCTGAAAGGATTTCAGAGATCAGATTTTGAAGCAGAATTATCTATGCCCTACTTTGGAAATCACCTTCTAGCTCAAGCATAGATTAATGGGCATCCTAATTAAAGTCAAGACCAGCAGTGCTTAAATAAGTTGTTTAAACAACTTGAACACAGAACTAAGTAAGCCAAACCAATCTCTATTAAAATTGCAGAAATTCCCAGGGGCAGAATAGTCACTGGCATGAGACGTTAGGAACTCCTATTCCTAAATAGCAACCTTAATGTATGTACCTTTGGACTAATTGATCCGCCTGATAATATTTTCCATCAGTAAGAATCTGGGCGTCCATAACTTGTTGGCGGAGAAGATTCTCACATTCAAGTAGATAGCCTGCGATCTCAGCTTCGTTCTGGAACTGCAGGCCTGCTTCTAATCGTTTCCTATCCTAAGTTTAAACAAACAAACAAAAATAACCATGCATGTATTTAACTGGAAAATAAGGTTCTTCTAATAACTTTTTTTGGGACAGACAATAATGATGCTCATTTAGAAATTTTTTAGATGCTTGTGTCTGAAAAATATGCTATAAGATAAAATCAGTTATCATTAAATATATCTGTAACAGCTTAATTTTAAATCATCAACTATTTCTTATGTCAAGCCAAATTTTCAATATATATTGCTCTCTCCAAAATCAGTAGTGTACATAAATAGTAGGCTCCCCATTTAGATAAACAGAAATACATACCTGCACATATAGAACTATTTTGAAAAACTACCATCAATATGATTAACATTATTTTCCTATATTAAAATACTTTGCAAAAGGTTGCTTAAGCAGCTGTGATTGCTTATTTTCTGAAATGAATACAAAGGAGGTTTTTTGACTGGATAAAACACAAGACAACTGGATTTTACATTTTTCAAGATGAAATTTACTGTAAAGGTAAAGGTTTCCCCTGTTCAATCATTTCCAACTCTAGGGGGAGGTGCTCATCTCCTTTTCTTAGTTAAGGGAGCTAACATTGTCCAGACATTTCCGTAATTATGTGACTCTAAGCCAAGGCACATGGAACATTGTTACTTTCCCACTGAAGTGGTAGCTATTTACCTACTCGCATTTGCAAGCTTTCAAACTATTAGGTTGGTAGGAGCTGAGGCAGTGGGGGAGCTCACCCCACTGTATAACACTTGAGTCTCAAACCAGGGCTGTCAGCTTTCCAGCTGACAAGCTCAGCATCTTTAACCACTGAGTCATTATGCCTCTTGAAATTTTAAATTTACATAAGTACATGAATTTTATAATGCAAAAAAAAGTACAATCTCTTACAAGACTTTTACTTGTACAGGACCGTTAACTTCCTTGACTTTTGATATATTTTCAAGTTTAAAAAATCCTTAGCTATTCCTGAACATTAAAAACAAATATAAAATTCAGGATGTATAGTGGGAACACACTCTGTAGTTCTTAACTTGAAATATTACCTATTAACACTAATGCATATCTAGCAATTGTTTTTTCTTTCTGGCAGATACAATATTCCTGAGCATTCTCTACCTCCTCCAAGTTTACTGACAGTCCTCAAAACTGCAGTGAAATTATAATAAGCATATACTGTGTTCCTTTAAAAATGTTTAGTAGGCTCTGAATATATGTTCTCAATGCCTTATTGACATAGAGAGAGCTTGAAGCATTTAGTACAGTAGCTTTATACTACTTTAAAATGTTTTTAACCCTGAAAGGTGGCATTGTATGTAAAAGATGAGATTCATGTTTAAGTCAATTCATTGCATGTGTGATGATATATGATGCATTTTTATGGTACTCCAAAATGAGCTATTAATAAGTACAGATAATTCTTCTCATCTTCCAAATAATTTTTGAAAAGAGTTTTCATAATTCCGGTTTTAAAAATGCAAAGCCTGAAGCCATGGAGTGTGATATATTTTGGCTATAGGGTAAGTACCTAATCATACAAGATATAAACAAAGATGCTGTCCTTCTACCTTTTATCCAATAATCAATCCCCATGGGTTTTCAATATGGAAAAAAAGTCAAAAACTAGATATTCAAAATTACTCACTGACTGAGTAGCATTTCGAGCAAGCATTAGCTTGTCTTCGCAAGTGAGGCTGTCCCGCTGAACTCTGTTTGCAATTTGCTGCAGCATATCTAACCTAAAGACATCAAAGTTAAGACATAAGGCTGATTATACCCTTTTTCCATACAAGAAAGTAGTATTAACTGTTACCAAATAAAGCTGAACCAAATTCTGCAATGTAATATCAAAACTTACCTGGATCCTTCCATTGGACCATTGCCAAAGCTTATACACGAATTAACAAGAGTTGGACCACAGTTAACAGATACGAAGTTTTCATTAGAATCAATGCTGGTTCGGGTACTAGTGCTATTACTAAAAGAGTCACTACTCTGGTAGCCATAACTGTTAGCATTCATTTTTCATAGTCAAAAAGCTCCTTGGTTGTTTGAAAACTGAAAATAAGCAGAATGTCTGCAAAGGTGCACAGCTACTAGAAAGGAGCTAGCTTTAAGAGCAGTTCCACCATTGCATCCTCAAGCAGGCTTTAGCGTGCATATTCAAAATCCTGTAAATATTATTCCTCTTCAGATTTTGCCTTCAGCTATATATGCCAATGTGGGCTTGGCTCACACTCTTTAAGTGCCTGTACAAGTAGGGACTAATCAGAATGATTAGGGCGTTAACATTGAAGGAAAAGTGCCAAATACCTTTAGGTAACTGTCATCCAATCCCAGAAACCTAACTGATATGGGACAGGATAAGATCTTCCTTTTTTTAAAGATCTGCAACTCCCAAGTCGTAAACAAAAAAATCGATCAATAGTCATTCTATAGAGTTGTATTTTCAATGAAATAATTCATTATATTCATATTTGCTTTTACATGTGTCTTTCATTTAAGCCTGTCTTCATTTTGATCCAGCTGTGCTCCAACTGTGTGCTTTTGATAATTGCTTATATTACAGCCAAAACAGGACCGGCACTACATTATCTTGCACAGGCTACCTTGCAAATAATTCAAATTAAGAATGTATTTAAAAATGTTTTTGTTCTATTTAAGCAGATTCACTGTGCAATTACTGGGATAAAAGAAGCAAAAAGAAGCTACTCTGAAAAGTTAAGGAATCAGTTCTCAACAAATGAACCAGCAAACATGTGGAAAACTCTTAAAAACATCACTAGCTACAGCAAACCTCCTTCCCAGGCAGAAGGAAATCAACAACTAGCAGATGACCTGAATGTGTTTTACTGCAGGTTTGAAAAGAAACTACAGCCCCCTATCTCCACAACCCCCATCTCAAACACACCAACAACAGCCAAGCCTCCTACAACTGGCCCCATTCCATTGGATTCACAACCTCTGGTGATCACTGAAAAAGAAGTGCAACATCTATTTCACAGACAAAAGCCAGGAAAAGCACCAGGGCCAGACAAGATAACTCCTTCTTCCTTAAAAGTCTGTGTTGACCAATTGGCCCCCATCTTCAACCGAATTTTCAATAAATCACTAGAGATGTGCTATGTTCCTTCTTGCTTCAAGTGCTCTACTATCATCCCAGTGCCAAAGAAGCCCTCCATCAAGGAACTGAATGACTACAGGCCAGTTGCTCTAACATTGGTAGCTATGAAAATCTTTGAAAGGCTTGTGCTGTCCCACCTGAAAACCATCACAGATCCACTGTTAGATCCCATGCAGTTTGCATACTGAGCAAATAGATCGACAGATGATGCTGTTAACATGGCTCTGCATTACATCCTACAACACCTTGAATCTCCAAATACCTACGCAATGATCCTCTTTGTAGACTTTCAGTTCAGCATTCAATACCATCATTCCAGACACTCTTCTAAGTAAATTAAACCAACTAGCGGTACCTGAACACACTTGTAAGTGGATCATAAGCTTCCTAACAGACAGGAAGCAGCAGGTGAAGCTGGGCGGAATCACATCCGATACCTGTACAATCAGCACAGCCCCCCCCGCCCCAAGGCTGTGTGCTATCTCCACTTCTCTTCTCCCTATATACCAATGACTGCATCTCAAACGATCCATCTGTTAAAATACTGAAGTTTGCTGATGACACAACAGCGATTGGTCTCATTCGAGACAACGATGAATCTGCATACAGACAGGAGGTTGTACAACTTGCCTTGTGGTGTAACCAGAACAATCTGGAACTGAACACACTCAAAACCATACAAATGGTGGTTAGAAGAAACCCTCCTATACTACCACCTCTTACAATACTAGACGACACAGTATCAACAGTAGAGACCTTCAAATTTCTAGGTTCTACGATATCACATGACCTAAAATGGACATCTAACATCAAAAACATCATCAAAAAAGCACAACAAAGAATGTTCTTTCTGCACCAACTCAGGAAGCTCAAACTGCCCAAGGAGCTACTGATACAGTTCTACAGAGGAATTATTGAGTCTTTCATCTGCACCTCTATAACTGTCTGGTTTGGTTCTGCAGCCCAACAGGAAAGACACAAACTTCAGAGGATAATTAGGACTTCAGAAAAAACAATTACTACCAACCTGCCTTCAATCGAGGACCTGTATACTGCACAAGTCAAAAAGAGGGTTGTGAAAGTATTTACAGACCCCTCACATCCCGGATGTAAACTGTTTCAATTCCTACCCTCAAAACGACGCTATAGAGCACTGCACATCAGAACAACTAGACACAAGGATAGTTTTTTCCCGAACGCCATCACTCTGCAAAACAAATAATTCCCTCAACACTGTCCAACTATTTACAAAGTCTGCACTACTGTTAATCTTCTCATCACTCCTTATCGCCCATCCCCTCCCACTTGTGACTGTATGACTATAACTTTGTCGCTTGTATCCTTACAATTGATACGGATTGTTTCCTAGTATGATTTGATTGCTTATTGTACCCTATGACTATGTATCTTTTCTTTTATGTATACTGAGAGCATTTGCACTAAGACAAATTCCTTGTGTGTCCAATCACACTTGGCCAATAAAAGAATTCTATTCTATTCTATTCTATTCTATTCTATTCTATTCTATAAAAAGATCAGAATTGCAGAGTCAATGGTTATTTTTGGAATTCGCTAGCAAGTGTTTAGGCTTGGACAGTAATGTCAGTTTACTGACTGCTATATTTTTTTCTATAAAATGTGGTAGCAATTCCTTTAACTGTTTGGCATTAAAAGGATTTTGAACGTGTACAGGCAAAAATGCCAGCACAGCCAGGTGTTCTGATTTCTTGCTGGCAAGGAGTATCAATATTATATATCATTAGAATTCTAGTCTTTACTTTGTTAAGGAAGTTGAGGCTGCAGCTCCTTCAGCACTACTCTTCCTTTAACAGCAGATTTATTTTATAATGAATCTTATAATGAATTATTTTATTGTTTTATAATTAATCTTATTGTTCAACAAATCCCTATTCTGTAACTGACCTCCAGTTTATATTAATGCTATTCTAAACTGTTAGGATTAGGCTTATCATACATGAACATTGTGAGGATAGCAAAGATGGAGCAAACTCAAAACTCTTTGCTCGCATATAGTTATCTAGATCAAATGGAAATCTAGAAATCAAATGGATTTTTGCATCCCCAATACAGAATATCTAGCAAAAACTGGGCTATCTCCCTCTTTAGTTCTTGCCCACTAAAGTTAACAACTACTACAGCAAAACTACTGAGACACTTTCAACTACTGACTGACTATGATACAAATTACTTAAAGGTAACCTCCAAACTTTGAATATATCTATACTCCAAGAGAGGCTACGCCGATTGGAAATTAGTGATTATATTCCATGATGCCACTGCCTTATACATGCCTCTTCTCAAACATAGCTAGTGTCTTCCAATTTCCCCTCAAACAGAAGCTCCTTTAGATAAGAAAACACACAAGATGAAAAAGTTAGGCTTAATGATGGGAGGAAAAAAAAAATTACTACAACCTGGATTGAGGGTATACCACCCTTTTCATGAACAGCAGCGATGAGGAATTTATAGCTGGCCCATCGAATGAATCCATTTCCCCACAGACCTCAAGCAAGGTCCCTCCCTTCTCTCTCTGCCCACCAAGACCCTTTCCGACCAAGTATGACCACAGATTACCCCAACTTTGTGTTTTCCTAATAAACACAATGCATACTGAGGGAAATCATTAGCGTACGGAAATGGGAGGGATCCCTTTGGCTACCATGTAAAGAAGAAATAAAGCCCTGAATGAATAGGATAATTGCTTTTGCTCTCTTACTTCGTTAAGCTGGAGGCAAATCTGGACAAAGTCAGAGAGATCAAAAGGCAAACTGAAGGTTTCTTGGTTGGGTCATCTGAGAGAGAAATTAATACATAGATAAAATATTAAGAGGTTATGGTCCACAACCAGTCAATATATATATAGAGAGAGAAAAAATATTTTGGTACAGGAAGGACAATATGGTAATAATAGATACTTGAGACAATCTCACTTGTTGCTGAATACTCAGCCATTACTAATCTCTAGAGCAGGGGTGTCCAACCTTGGCAACTTTAAGACTTGTGGACTTCAACTCCCAGCTGGCTGAGGAATTCTGGGAGTTGAAGTCCACAAGTCTTAAAGTTGCCAAGGTTGGACACCCCTGCTCTAGACCTTTACTGGCTTACTTTCTACATAATGGGTATTGCAGTAGCAACAAACATCAAGCTTAATGATGGTATCTAGTCTTTGCCGGCAATTTTTTGTTGCTTTAAGTAATCCACAGGATACCCTTTAATTCAGCATTTTCCCCAAGATCAATGTTTTGGGGAGGCTCAGAGCAGGTCATCGGTGGGGGAAAAGAGTCCAATTTTGACTGTGTCCAGCCAGATGCATTTATAGTACTTGCATGATAACATAAGGAAACATAACGTTCATGTCACCATGCTAATGACACAATTGTGCGATTATGTCATGATTCTGACTCAAGTTCCATAATGAACATGTTACATCCCCTCCCTTTATTTTTCATATAAATGCCCATGTCCGTGTTATCTGCCTAATAGAGGAATTCCACTTAAAAATATTCGCATAGAATTTGCAACATTGGTACTTTGCATGGCACTAAATTAATACAGTTAATTATTATAAGATACACAAATACATGTACACACACCGACATGCACACACAGAGAGAGATCTGGTATAAATCATAACTCTTGAAAGGCAAGGATTATGAGCATGGTAACCAGCAGAATGGGCACAGCCATTTCCTCCTATATTGGCCCAAGCAAGAGTTTCATTTTTTTTCCTTGAAAGGGGACAGGGAATTCCTTATTTTTCATTGTTAAAATTATTTGGGTGCTAAGGGTACAGCTTTCATCTCTTCTCTGCCTCAGACTAGCAGGGAACATAATGCAAATTCTCGGTAATTGTCAAGGAGACTCAAGCAGTCCTGAAAAGACTACCCTGATTGCACATGGCCTTGGGAAGTCAGCCTATTCGCTTTGATTTCATGGCACACAATGTCCTTGGCACAGTGGTGGAATTCAATTTTTTTTACTACTGGTTCTGTGGGCATGGCTTATTTGGTGGGCATGGCTTGGTGGTCATGTGACTGGGTGGGGTATAGCTTAGTGATCATGTGACTGGGTGGGTGTGCTTGATGGTCATGTGACTGGGTGGGTGTGGCCAACTCAATGTCACTCACATCAAGGGGTCCCTCATCTGGCCCCTCCCCTCCGAGCCATTCCTTGTCACCCAGCCTCAACTTATCTATAGTTCTGTATAAATGTTCACCTTTTTTGACTTTATTATCTGCATACTATAGATGTACTTTCATGGACCACTGAAAGGAGGAAATGGCTCACATGCTTTACTCAAGAGTGTGAAAGGCAACAGTCTTTTAAGGGGCTGCCACAAAGAAAGGGGGACAATGTATTTTCCCAAGAAGCAGAATGCAAACAAGAAGCAATGGATGGAAAGTGAACAAAGAGTAGCAACCTAAAACTAAGGAGAAACTTCCTGTGAGTGAGAACAATTAACCAGTGGAACTGCCTGTCTCCAGAAGTTCTGGGTGCTCAATCATTGGAAGTTTTTAAGAAAAGACTGGACAGCCATTTTCTCTGAAATGGTATAGGGTTCACCCCAAGGTCCCTTCTAAGTATTATTCTGACACCTTTCCCAGGATTTCTACTCAGAGTTTGGCATCCTCAGTTTTCTTGCCTGAGGTTAAGGTTGGACTAGATGACCTCCAAGGTCCCTTTCAACTCTTGTTAAGCACATGTGTATTTTATGCTCTGGACTATTGACATTGAATGCATGTAAACCCTGAAAAATATGTGGTAGCCCTGGGCAAAAGAAAGACAGAAAAATCACTCTAGGGGTAGGGACAGTGTAAAATATTAACACACGATAAATAATGGAACAATTAAAAATAATAGCACAGAGTTTTATCTCTTTCTCTTCCTATTTTTTTTCTTTCTTTCTCTCCCTTCCTCTCTTTCTCTCCCTCTCCCTCTCCCTCTCCCTCTCCCTCTCTCTCTCTCACACACACACTGAGCACTTAACAGACAAGCATTTTGGGAGCAGCTCCTTTAAATTTCTCCAAGGCTGGGGTGGATTTCCCCCACCCCCTCTGTCAGACCACTTTAACTCACAAGGGGAAGGCGATACTTGCAGCATCCATGGGGAATCCTTGGAGAAGTTTTTAAAGGACCTCTTCCAAAATGCATTTCTTTTACGTTGCAAAAGTGCTCCAAGGCTCGATTCACCCCCACTCCCTCTGTCAGACCGCACTCCTTCTCTCTCGAGACACTTTAACTTACTCGGGGAAAGCAATACTTGCAGCGTCCATGCCTTTCTTCCTTTCCCCCGGGAAGAAAGAGAACATGGGGAACGGAAAGTTAGGAGAGCGATCGCAAGCGAGTGACCTGGCAACTGGGTTGGGGGCATGGACAGTCAGGGGTCGCCACCGGTTTGGCGCCAAATAACCGCTACCGGTTCGCCCAAGTAGGTGCGAACCGGTTGAATACCACCTCTGCCTTGGCATCAGTATGAATTTCCTTGAGCAGACACCAAGGCACAAGGCTTTGATGCAATCTACCAAGATTGCAACCTTCAAAGGGATTGGGTGTGCCATCTCAGTTGGGGGTCACCAAGACTTGGGATAACCGGCACTTTTTTTTTTTTAAACCCTCTTGAGGCGTCTGAGAAAAAAATAGTGGGAGCCCACTCAATCCTGTAAATGCCACGGCAAACTTTGGAAAGTATCATCTACTTTTTGCTGGTCTGCAACTTTAATAAAAAATTTATTATTTACTCAAAAGTTGGTCAGGATTGAAACATAAACCTTGAGAAAACTGTATAACTATAAGCAATGTTTGATAACTGGAATAATTGTCCAAATTCTGATGGGCAAAACATCAGACAAGGTTACAGTTACATATTTGTTATTTAATACAGAATTCTGCATAAGCTGCTTGATAATTATGTCAATAAAAATAAGCATCAGTAAAGATATTCGTTCAATATAAAAGCAATATCCAATTAATGAGCTCACCCAACAATTCATTTCTACAAAGGAAATTTTTACTACCTTTGTTTCGAGATCAAAGTGTCTCTGTCTATTATCCTACTGAGCAGTTTCAACCTGGCAGGGAAACGTGCTATAAAACAAATAATCAACCTACCTTTCAACTTCTGGTCGAAGCATTTTCTCTCTTTCCAACATAGCAATAATTAGCTTCCCCCATTCTTTTTCAATGTCATTTGGATGATAGCCTTGAGGAAGCTTGATACGCCCAAATTCAATCCAAACCTTTGAAGGCAAGGAATAATTGCATAAAATTGAGAAACCAAATCAAGCATAAAAGTGAGAAATAAATCCAGCCTGCACCAGTCCACACAATATAGCTTACCTCTAGTAGTTTATATAGATGCTTGATTTTTGATTTGTCTATTTCCTTTGGTGGAATTTCTGTTTCTTTAAATTGTAAATATTGGTTATAAAGTGCCTAAAGGAAAACAAACGTTGAAGTCTTTACTGAGATATTCTGGTTTACTAAGGCTTATAAAAACTTGTCATGCTCCTCATTTTGAAACCAAATTGTCTAACTTACTTAACATCAAGAACAAAATATGTGGATTATAAGAAAAGAGAGAATTAAACCATATGTCTCCCATTCAGCTTCCCCTTGACCATCTTGGTTAAGTCCAAGGTTAAATGAAATCTTCTACCCGCTGGTGTTCATGCATATAATCCCCATAGTTAACTGCTGCAGAGAATTCTGTTTGATGTCTTTTTAAGAACAGGACAAGAATCCAAACCACTAAATTTGGGCTAGCCATGGCAGTGGCTTGCGCAGCCTCAGATTAAAATGCATTATAATGCCTCCAAGCCAGGGAGATGCCCTTTATTGCTTAATCTTTACATGAACACTGTTTAGATTTGTGGCTCCTTCCCAAGATTCTAATATCTAGAATCACTGTTTATACATAGTTGACCAGAAATCCAGGTTTTTTTTTCCATTGCCATGTGAGTAATAGTAGATTGACTGAGGATTTATTGATCAAATTTATATAGCCACCCATTTCAAGATCATATGATAAGGACAGAAACTAATCCACTGGTGAGAACTCCATGCATAAAAATTATGCTTATAGGAAAATAGCATGAGAGGGAAAAGAAATGTAACCTAACATTCTCTCTGACATAATAGCTTCCAGCATTTTTACATAAAGGGACATGTAACACTGCAAACTATGCCAACCTCTTAAGTTCCCAGAAGAGCTATACTGGCATATTTAATTCACTCTCTTCTAAACCCACTCTACATTGTACTGGAGCTGGCTTTGGGCAGATTCTGTCTTTGGAAAAAGACAGACCCTTCTTGAATCAAGTATTTTATGCTCCAGCATTGCTATTTCTATCATTTAAAGGACTTGGGAGTTTTGTGGATCACTATAAATGAATAGGTGATTTATTACTCTACAAAAGTAGTACCTAATATTTTTTTAAAAAAACTGTATTTGGCAATATAAACAAAAGAAAAAAAATCACCTTGAGTTCTACAGGGTTGTTTGGAAATGCTCTGTCACTCATTATTGTGGCATGGTGCCTAATCCATTGGATGAGGTAGTTCACCATATTCTGGTATTCAATCCATTTGACTTCAACATCCTAAGAGAAGCAATAAAGGAGCATACCAATTGTAAAGACATTGCTTGTCAATTGTATCTGTTGCAATATAGGTAAGCAACCAATCAGCTCTATCCAACTTTGTCCTAGAGTGACAACAAAAATTACAATTTAAAGTGGCAAAGTCTCTTTTTGCAAGTGATTTTTGAATAACATTGCAGAAACTGGATCTTCCAGCCCTATATATCTTTTTGGCTTCTGATTCAAATTCTCCTCGTCTCCTATACCCAATATGAGATTTTGCTGATTCTTTGCCCACTCTCCTTTATAGCCCCTCTATATTTGTACCCATGTATCCTTCTGTTATCTGATTTTAGTTTTCTTATCTACTGTTCACCTGATTTCTAGCTTATACTACAAGCACTTCCCTTGCTTCCCTTGAGAAACAGGCCGTCCTTACTGTAAGCATTATACTTTTTGTTTAGGCCCTCTTCTGTCAATATCCCTCTCTTTTCCTTCTTCTTCTTTCTTCTCCCCCCCCCCCCCCCCCCGCCATGACCTGTTTTTAACTTCATAACTCTATTTCTATGGCATCACGCCTTTATGCTTTCTTGGTTATGCTCTAGTGCCGAAGTCCCCAACTTGTGGGACGCAGCCCACTACTGGCCTGTGGCCTGTTCAAAACTGGGCCACGTGAATGGTAGATTGGTGCACATTATGTGTGCACGCAGCTCAACTCACATGGGCAGATGACGACACTTGCAGCCCAACTCGTGCGTGTGGCAGGCATGCACTCATACAAACAAAGCTGTATGCATGCACCTACCCTTCACACAAAACCATCCCCTCTCCCCCTCACCCTATGCTGGGCCCCCAACCCAGAAACATTGAGAAATGCTGTTCTAGTGGGTCAGCTTGAAGAGGCCCCCCAAATTACTCATCCATCTAGTTGCCAATTTCATGATATAGGTTAATCAGCATCATGTCCATAAGAACTCATTTCAAAATGCCCTGGCTCAATAGCCTAAACGTCAGGTAAACCCAACAGAACAGTGGTGGTATTCAACTGGTTCAGCCCGGTTCCGGTGAGCCGGTAGCAGCAATGGGTAGTGGAGACTGAACTGGTTCTCTCCACCGCTCTGCTGTTGGGCCCACCCGGGCTCCCATACTCACTTTTATCTGCTGAATTTGAAGCGCTGCTGCTTTGCGCGGCAAAGAAGAGTGCCGCAGGGCAGCTGCTGAAGTGACCGGGATTGTGCAGGCTTGCAGGAGGTGAGTTGGAACACCTCTGCGCCTGCGCAAAGTGTGCATTTGGCACACGTGCGCATGCAAAGTGTGTGCATGCGTGCAAAGCATGCCCACCAAGCCACGCCCACCAAACCGGTGGCAATAATATTTGAATCCCATCACTGCAACAGAACATGTCATCTGAAAGTGGATTCACCTTCCCTGCATGGAGGAAGTATGACCAAGTGGAGAACTCTCACTTCTTAGTATTATCATTCTATGACCTATTGTTATTCAAGTTGTTCTCTACAGTAAATAGCAGTTATATAAGTTTTGAGCTCCAGTGAGACAGCCACACTCTTAACTTTAGATAATCTTTCAGTATTTCTGCCTAAAAATTGCTGTGAGTGTATAAAAACTACTTTCTTACTTACGTGTGCACTGATGCCTTCACCACCTTCAGGTACTTTGGGAAATGCATCATAAAGTGATGATACATAAGTGATTACTGACTTCTCATCTGGTGAGGAGACATCGACATCTAAAATGTACAAGTGGACACAGGCAATGTTTACAATACAGGTAACACAACATCAGGCTTCCTGTCATGCTTTTTGAAGCCTGTCATTCAACAGTATTTTCAATTCATCAACTCACCTTCAGGATCCAAAAGCCTGGCAACTCCAAGTTTTTCAGCTACAAAAAAAGCATGCTCTAAATTTGCAAGGTTGCTTTGAACAGCAACAGTATTCATGTCTACCAGGTCCGGCCTGTAAAACAAAAGAATTTAATCTGCTTTTGGAGGACAATATGTGAACGGTGATCTCCATTTTTTTCTGGGAAATGATGAAGGTTTTCAAGGGAAATGATGAAGGTTATTACTTCAGAGGAAATGGGCCCTGCATTTCAGCTTTTCAGGTCCCAGACAGAATATTCTCTCTGGAAAAAAAATGACTTAAGTTTTTAGAGATACGGTTTTATCACAAGGGAAAGACAGAGGAGTGGAAACTTCCAGTCTTTTACATAAAGATACTGGTTGAGATCAAAATCCCTTGTCACTCCAAAACATTATCTCTTGATGTCTTACAATTACCCAGAAGTGCCTTACCTCTTCTGCTTTTTCCTGATGGGAAAAGTGGTGGGCAACATTTTGAGGTGAGGGGTGGATCAAAATGATGAAGTCTTGAAATTACATTTTATGATGCAATTGTCTTAATGTAATGAAATTCCCCGATTCATCATGCTTGTCAGCTTTTTTCTATATCTTTTATGTTTTATTGATTTTATTGCAGTTTCTTTGTCATGTCACCCAGAATTGTTGAGAGGCAGGCTGCATACAAGTTTTTGTTATTGTTTTTTTTTCTCCTCTTCTAATCTTCTCTTCCTTCTCCCCCTCCTCTCCCCACCTAAGTTCTGCTTCAGCATGCTCGTGAACAATAAATAGTTCACTTTCTCCCTATCTTGTCACTTCATCTTCTTCCCAAATGAGCTAACCATTCATGTGACAGAAAGACATAAATGGGGGGAAACAACCATCAGGGGAAAAAAAGGAAATTAAGACAGGAGTGGAGAACATGATGATGGATCAGATGTTTTCCATATCTGTAACTCCAACAAGCCCTTGTCTCTAACCATGCTAGTTAGTGATAAACAGAAATGGAGTCTTAAGACACAAGTGCTCTATAAAAATTAAGGCAATACAGTTTTCCAATTCCAAAATGAAATAAATTTTAGCCAGCATCCTTTTCCTAATGATAGTCAACATAATTTCAGCTGGGATATAATTAACTTTAAAATTAATTATAACTTCAAAAAAGGCAACTATGATCTTATAGACAACAATCTCTCATCCTTTGATTGGCAATCTCTATTCACTGGATGCAATACTGTTGAAGACCATTATAACGTATTTTTACTTGAAGTCAAAAGAGTCATTAAACTATATGTACCAATAGCAACTCCCAAAACACAAAAAAAGCAAAAAAAAAAACAGATTACCCATAACAATAAGGAAACTTTAATCCAAAAAGAAATCACTTTGGCGGAAAAACAAATCTGGTCACGTTGCCAACTTCAAAAGAAGATACAAAAATTTATGCCATCAGATAAAGACTGAATGCACCAATTATCACATTAAACAAGAAAAAAACCTTCTACGCACCAATTCCACCCGCACTTTTTACAATTTTGTAAACAAAAAACTAAAAGGCTTAAGGTCCATCCCACCCGATAGGACCTAATGTTAAAGACTGAAATGACGACAGCATTAAAGCCAACCTCTTTAACACATTCTTTGGATCAGTATTTGTAAACAGCAATGGATCAAGCCCAGTATTTCCTAGTCGAACCACAGACAACTACAATGATCTAATACATATCGATTTTACAGAAGACAGTGTTGAAAAAGCATTACGCAATCTAAAATCATCTCTATCTATAGGACCAGACAGAATATGTGCCTACTTCTTAAAAAAGCTATCCACTGCCATAGCAGAAGCTCTAAGCATAATTTTTGAAAAATCTTTCAGGACCAGCTCCTTGCCTAACCTATGGTCACAAGCCACGGTCATCCCCATCTTCAAAAAGGGAGACCCCAGCCTAGTTGAAAATTACAGACCAATCTCCTTATGCTGCATCACCTGTAAAGTCATGGAATCAATTATTAACCAATCCATTATTCTCCCCTTAGAGACAACCAACCTACTCTCTAATAAACAATTTGGTTTCAGGAAAAAACTATCCTGTAATCTGCAACTCTTACACTGCAAAAACATATGGATTACACAACTCAATCAGGGCAAAACAATAGACACAATCTACATAGACTTCTGTAAAGCCTTTTATTCAGAGGTACATGACAAATCACTCCTAAAGCTAAAATCTTATGGTATCTCTGGACAACTGCATAACTGGACAGAAGCATTCCTGTCCAACAGACAAGAAATGGCCAAAATTAGGAGTGTCCTATCAAATTCTGTACCTGTCAACAGTGGTGTCCCCCAAGGCAGTGTTCTAGGACCAACTCTTTTCATACTCGACACAAATGACCTCTGTGATCATATCAAGAGCAACTGGATTCTCTTCGCTGATGATGTAAAGCTGTTCAATACCACAGACAATACTGCTACCCTTCAAAAAGATCTTGACTATATATCAGAATGGTCAAAAAATGGCAACTTCAAATCTCAACAAATTTATTGTTTTTTATTTATTTATTTTTATTGGTCAGTTGCTTACAAGATAATAGGTATAAGTAAAACATAGTTATGAATACATGGATACATATAAGAAATTTTTTTAAAAAATATAAAAGTAACAATAGGACAGGGATGGTAGGCACCTTGGTGCGCTTATGCACATCCCCTACAGACCTCTTAGGAAAGGGAGGAGGTCAATAGTAGACAGTCTAAGGTAAAAGTTTTTGGGCTGAATAAATACTCTGTCTTACATATTGACAAAAAAACCCAGAAAATAAAAGACAAGCTGAATAGTCAAGACCTTGTTGATGATCCAAGCTTTGTAAAGGACCTTGGAGTACTCATCTCTAATGATCTCAGTGCTAGAGCCCACTGTAACTACATAGCCAAAAAGGTGTTAAGAGTTGTTAACTTAATTCTGCATAGCTTTTTCTCTGGTAATATCACATTACTAATTAGAGCATACAAAACATATACAAGACCAATACTCGAATACAGCTCATCAGTCTGGAATCCACATTACGTATCTGATATTAGCAGAGTTGAGAAAGTCCAGAAATATTTCACAAGAAAAGTTCTCCACTCCTTTACTCATTGTAGAATACCTTATGCCACCAGACTTGAAATTCTAGACCTAGAAAACCTTGAATTACGCCATCTTCAGTCTGATCTAAGTATGGTATATAAAATCATACATTGCAATGTCCTGCCTGTCAATGAATACTTCAGCTTCAACCATAACAACACAAGAGCACACAATAGATACAAACTCAAGGTTAATTGCACCAAACTTGATTGCAGGAAATACGACTTCAGCAACAGAGTGGTCAATGTCTGGAATACTCTACCTGACTCTGTGGTTTCTTCTCCAAACCTCAAAAACTATAACCTTAGACTGTCTACAATTGACCTCACCCCTTTCCTAAGAGGTCTGTAGGGGGCGTGTATAAGCGTACCTACCGTCCCTGTCCTATTGTTTCATTTATTTTTCTTATATGTATCCATTTCATGTATTCATAACTTTGTATATACTTATACCTATTATCTTGTAAGCGATTGACAAATCAAAATAAATAAATAAATAAATAAATAAAATAAACTTGAAAGTCACCCCCACTCATCCAATCATTAAAGACATTACTCTAACATTTATTCTTCCTATGTTTTTGCTGTAATCCCTTAAATAGTGGAAAGGCTCTGATTTTTTTTTTAAAGAGGACTTCAATCAAAGATATCAACAACAAACTCAAGCCCTGCAATCAATACCCTATTATCTCCAATCTCCCCAATTTAAAGTTATTATTTTCTTCAATTGATTTAGGAAAACATTATCTTTGTATACAACATTCAGATAATAAATAATGAAATTCAATATAATAATAATGGACTCAAAATAGATGTTTTGTGTCACTAACAGATTAATAAACAAGGATGGTTTTGAAGCAAGCAAATGTATTGTGAAGCTGCAAAAAGAGGGAAATCTATCTAAAACATACAGATGTTCCTCTGATTCTGCTGACTTCTGTTGCTTTTAATGAAGCAACTTGTGATATGCAAAACACAAAACTATGCCTATTCAGGTGCCAGTTTTTCAAAACAAGAAAGGGCAAGCTGTAATATATTTGCTAGCTTTTTAGTGGGGAAAAAAATGCCACTACCATCTAAGCAGACTGCAATGCAGAATGTTTTTCTTTAATTCAAGAAGCGGCAAGCTGAAATTTGCTCTATAACAAAAGAAGGTGACTCCAAGGGCAACCATGTTTCTGCTACAAATTTCAAACCTATTATCTCCAGTTGTTGTAATGAAACTCAAATCCATTCAGTAAATTACTTACTGGAATAAATGCATAGGGAAATGTCCCCCAAAAGAAAAATTAGACAGAAAAAAATATTTGTCTCTTTCACCTTATTATTGGTACTAACTGTCATTTAAAATGTTAGTATTAGTTACAATTATTTTCAGCCTCATTTTATAAATAAATAGTAGCGTATGTCTAAGGTAACTTTGGTACCTATCCTAAAGGGATATTTAAAAATCGCACATCTATATATTTACATATAAATTGCATCTTTGTTAATTATTAAAACTTTCCAGTTATGATAAAATACATGTAAAAAAGACATGTATGGTGTACTTATTCTACATATGATAAAAGATGCATTATCCAGTCTTTATAAAAGTGTGAGTCTTCTACACGAGATTTCTCACTAAACCAACTTTCCTGCCAGAGAAAATACATGAACTGAAAGAAAGGGAAAGAGCAAGGACAAAATGTAATAAATCACTTGTATTGTGATTGTCCTACTCAGAATAAGGTATCCTTCTTCCAAATATTATTTTGATGTTGGCTCTTTTAAAATTCTAGATTATCTAACCACATGGAATAGGAAACTTCAGTATAAAAATAGATATCTAACAAAGTCCATTCTTTTTGAACAACAATCTCCTAATAAGAAATGTATGTAAAATTCTTCAGTCACTCTTGGTGTCTCGTTAAGAAATACTTTTCAAAAGAAACTTTCTATAAACCTGGCATTTATACATGAGCTATTGTCTAAATCTCACTGGTACC